TTATTATGACATGACGTCATTTGCGATTGTTATCCCTTAGTATACTCTGATGTTTCATGCCTTACAATACTATGCCGTTTTTTTTTATATTTTTGTGCCTTAAAATCACATGACATTTTTTGATGTTTTTATGCCTTAGTATACTATGATGTTTCATGCCTTAGTATACTATGACGTTTCATGCCTTACAATACTATGACGTCATTAATATTTTCGTGCCTTAAAATCACATGACATTTTTTGCTATTTTTATGCCTTAGTATACTATGACGTTTTTCAACGTTTTATGCCTTAAAATCACGTGACATTTTTTGATGTTTTTATGTGTTAGCATACTATGACGTTTTATGCCTTATTATGACATGACGTCTTTTGCCATTTTTATGCCTTAGTATACTATGACGTTTTTTTCTATTTTTATGCTTTAAAATAGTATGACATTTTTTTATGTTTTTATGCCCTAGTATACTATGATGTTTTTTATACTTTCATGCCTTAAAATCACATGATGTTTTTCACGTTTTTATGCCTTAATATACTATGACGTTTTTTGACATTTTCATGCCTCACTATACCATTACGTTTCTTGATATTTTGATGCCTCAAAATAGGATGTTGTTTTTTGACGTCTTCATGCCTTACTGTTCTATGATATTTTATGCTCTACTATACTATGATGTTTTTCGTCCTTTTTATGCCTTAAAATATTATGTCATTTTTTGATTTTTTTTTTAAATATATTTTTCCGTGCTTTTTTATATGCCTTTTTAATAGCACAGTAGAGAGAGACAGGAAATGGGGAGGCAGAGAGAGGGGGAATGACATGCAGTAAAGGGCCGTCCAATGTGGGATTCGAACCGTGGCCGACTGCAGTGAGGACTGTAGCCTCTACATATAATGTGAAGTTTTTTGACATTTTCATGCCTTACTATACTATGACGTTTTATGCCTTACAACACTATGAAGGTTTATGCCTTATTATGACATGACGGTTTTTTCTATTTTTATGCCCTGCAATACTATGATGTTTTTTGACATTTTTGTGCATCAAAATAGGATGACGTTTTTTGACATTTTCATGCATTACTGTACTATGATATTTTATTCCTTACAATACTATGACGATTTTATGCCTTACTATACTATGAAGTTTCATGCCTTATTATGACATGACATTTTTTATTATTTTAATACCTCACTATACCATGCTATGTTTTGCTATTTTTATGCCTTACTATTGTATGACGTTTTTTTTTTTACCTTACTATACTGTGACTCTTATTACATCTTCCTACACTATGATGTTTTTTGATATTTTTATACCTATGATGTTGAATGCTTTAGTAAAGTACACTTACTATACTATGACGTTTTGTTTACATTATGTCTTACTTTACTATCACGTTTTGATAGTGTTGTGCCATAGTATAGTATGACGTTTTATGGCTTACTATACTATGACTTTTTTTTTACGTTTTCATACCTATGATGTTGAAGGCCTTAATATACCGTGACTTTTTTTTTGACGTTTTTCATGCTTTACTATACTAGGATGTTTTCATTCCTTACTTTCAGTTTTTATGCTTTACTATTGTATGACTTTTTTTTTTTTTTACATTTTTTTCTATTTTTATAAAGCATTACTGCCATGATGTTTTTTTGATCTTTAATGTCTTATTATTGTATGACGTTATTTTATGTTTTTATGCCTTAATATATTATGACGTTTTTTGACGTTTTTAGGCCTTACTATATTTTGACTTTTTTATTCCTAACTATACTATGACGTTTTCATACCTTACTATACTATGACTTATGACACGTATGACTTTTATATCCGTAAATCAAGAGTGATGTTACCACATGTGTCACCTTTAAGAGGATATAGTATGACATATATACATCCTCTGGATATATGAAGATATAAGTGTATCTATGAAATATTTAACTTTAAATTTGCAACTTTATTAAAAAGTAGCCTGCTTCTTAAAATTTCTGATTCTATACGATTTCCTTCCTAATTTCTTATTAAATTTAAATATACATGTCTAACATATGTCTATAATATAAACAGACTTACCCAAATACATGTTTCCATTAGTTAGACATATATGTCAATATATGATATTGTTCCAGTTCCTAACAGGTTTCATATGTAATTTTTATATAAATAGGCTATACTTTAAATACATACAGTATATGATTTTACTTCATATGTACATATATTTCATATATGGAAATTCAGCACATGTACATATATTACATTTGCGTATGGGCATTACTGAATGTAAATTAAGATCTTATATGTTAATAAACCGTTTGGTTGGCAGCATTAAAAAGCCAATCTCTTTGTTTTGGAGCGGTGGTATGGTTGTTGCGTCTACACCAATGTTGAGACCAAACCTATGCCCTTGGTAAATGGCCAGTCTTTACAGCAGCATTGGCAGTGGTGAGTTCCCTACTTCAAAACTCAAGTCCTCTTACATCAAGATTTTCTGATACTTTGTCTTCTCACAGTCAACACACACACAGCCGCCTGTGCATACATAAAAAATGAAATGTGTGCAGATAAGAATGCATGCTTACAGTATATGTGTAAATTCCCACTCACACAAAAACACATACAAAATGCCTGTCTACCTTCTGTGGGGACACATAGCTGCGCAGCTTGCAAAGCCACCACTGACAATTCCTTCTGGTCTTTGTGAAGACAGAAGACTAAAGAGTCCATGTAGATCTATCACACTAATATTGATTGTACATCACGCTACACGGAAAACAGATCACAGCAACCTTTTTCGACATGGGTGAAAAAAATCAATTAATTACTGCAAACACTATTACAGCTTAAGCAGTGCTGCAACCTGCTGTTCATAGCCTGTAACTGCATTTCTACTTCAGGGACTACTTGAGTAGTATTCCTTGTCACATCAAATGGATGCAGTTGTATTGCTCTCTTGTTGTTTCCTTTCTTTAATTCCAAGTCTCTGTATTTGTCAGGCTTCTACAAAACTCTCCCTCAGCTGTCACAATAGCTAATATCTTTGTGAAGGTAAAATAACACAAAAGATGTGAAACAGCAGCCTGTGAGAGCATCCTCTGAAAGTGCTTCCAGTGTTTCAGGTTTATGTGGAAATCAAGGTCATCTTTAAAACTCTGATATTCTCTGTCTCTCTCTCCTTGCCTCGGTCTATCTGCCACACAGACAGTCATTAACACCATGTGCGGTTTTGGGGTCCAAACCCAGAACTACCTGGAGGCAAACAAGTCAATCTATCCAGTAGGCTGTGCGGACAGGGCGGTGATGTGGATCGAGTCTCATCTGTTACTGGTGGGGGCTCTCGCCCTGGGACTGGCCTTGCCTCAGGTAACCGCCACACACACACTCACTCAATGCAAGTTGTGGAGTTACTGGCAACAGTCCTTTGCCAATGGTAACCTCAAGACAGTTCAGGGCAGAGATGACTCTAATCTTGTCCTAAAATAAGCTCTCTCTCTCTCACACACACACACATACACACATAAACACACAAGTCAATAGAGGCAGCAATTGGAGGTGTACCAGATTGAGAGTGTAGCAATCAACATATTGATGGTTCCTGCTACCTCAAAGGCAGGCTTTGCATGGTGCATTTGGATGTGGCTGCAAAATAGTCTGAGCAGCACTTCATCAATCAGGACCCTGCACTTTTCATAGAGTAACACACAGTTGGTCAATTGGTGTGCATCCAACAACTTCCCTGTACAAGTTCAGCTTGTCTCACACAGGATAACCTCATCCTCTGTCAAATAGGAACAAAAATCTAATAAAAAAAAAAACATATTCTAAAGGTAACCAACAGCGTGTAGGGTTAATGTGAGTCCACTGGGATAGAACTGATTTAAAATGGAATTACACATAGACAGCAATAAGTAGGCACAATGGGACAATGAAATTTTAACTGCACATTATTCATTTATTACACTGTTCTAGATTGAAAGCACAGGTTAATGTGCGAGGTAGAAGTCTGTGCATGATAATGTTAGATCATGTCTAAGAAAGGAGGATACTGACGATTCACTTCTATTCATGGAGTACCGCTGTACAAAGCACCTCAAATCCCAAAGCATTAAGTAATGCTAATAACTCAAGTCAATATGTTAGATTGGCCATGAAATCACATTAGCACTTATCAAGAGTTGCCTCTAAATAATTAGTCGACTTACTTATCAAAATGGTTCAGGTACTGTCACGTTGTATTTTCACACAACATGCAGCTTTGTCACTAGATCTTTAGCTTGGACTATCTTGGTCTCATATCTGCCTGATTGGGTCCCCAATGATTCTGTTGAGAGGGAAGCATGTGAATTACCCATGACTCCTGTCAAAACAATTGCATTAGTATTCCAATTGCTTTGATGTGCAGTTAATCTGATGATGAAGTTATCGTTTTTGTCTTGCACATCCTTACTAAAACACTATTACTAGATTTGTCTGCATAACAAGCTACATTTAAATCAAACTGTTAATTATTGAAGAGCTCAGTTAAAAGCTGTGTTTGCCACCAAATGTGTGTGCTCTCACTGTGAGTATCTAAACAGTTTTATCTAATTTTCTAAACATTTCCTCCCGGTGCCAAATGAGCACTGCGACACCCTTCTGAGGGACCTTGAGATGCTCGGCACAGGCTGTACAATTACCGAGAGTATGCTCTGTAATCTAAAGTGGCTGCTGCTGTCCTCTAGATTGCAGGGATCGTGCTGTCCCAGATCCTGATCTCTCAGATCAAAGATGAGATTACCTCAGTGTTGTGAGAGTGGGCCGACGCTGGGGAAGAGGAGGGAAGAAAAGAACTTACAGTACTCCGCTCAGCTCCTCTGACATGTGCAAGGACATCTTTTTTTTACTGCTACTGTATCTCTGCCATGTTTGAGTACATTTCTTATTCTTAACGTGCTGTTGCCCTCGGGCATACAAGTGTGATGCACTTTATTGTGTTACTCAAATATTCATTCACATGCAAAGTGCCAAATGTATATTTATTGGTTTTGATAATGGTTTTTGTGTTGATATTGACATGAAGATTTTATCTCTGAAGAGTATTTATATTTAAATGTGACATTTGCTAATAAAATTCAGAAGAAGAAAGTCACAGTCATCTACATTGATTAGAGGTGTCTGTTTTGCTAAAAGAACAAACTCAGATAAAGCATGTGGTTAGACACCATATTTTGCAGCTATTTATCATGCAAATTGACAACCTGTGGTTAATATTAGCTCATAACCTTGAGATATGTGCAAATTAGTTCACTTACAAAGTTTAACAGGTCAGCAATCTAAAAGGGTGCAAAGCTCTACATTGAAAACTGTATAAAAGGTATCAACCGTCTTGACAACAGTGCCAAATTCCTGGGGGTTGGTAAAGGAGTCTCCTAAAGCCAAACATCAGCACATCAGATTATGATGTTACTTTGATGATTTTTGCATGGGAGCTGCTCCGTGCACCTTGCAACCTTTCTAGACGTGAAGAGCAAGGGCTCTCTGCATCAGTCGATCAGTCAGAGGGGAATTTGGCCTCACGGCATCACGCTCCACCAGAAGGCATCTGGGGGAATTCAGCAGAACACAAGACGGTACACAGAGATGAACACAGATTCAGAGAAACTACAAGCTGAGAGGCTAAACTGATCAATAATGAAAGTGTAACATGGTGTACGGACAGGGGATGTCTGTTACATAATGGGAGCATACAGCTTGGGTTCTGCATGCACATGAAAACCCCAGCAGCTAAAGAACGCTAGTGTAGAGCAGCCCCAACTATACACCATCATGATGAAATCCAGAGGTTCAAAAAGTGCAAGACCTTTTCTTTTTTCTTCTGTATTTTCTCAGCAGATTCTCACATAAAAACATAGATGGCAAAGACATACAGAACTGAAATTGGAAAAGGTTTGGCCTGAAATCCCAGGTGTGCATTACCTTCCCAGTTTCTGGTGGTGCTTATTCTCTGATTTCATGGCTGCATGAATAAGCAGTTGATTGAAGAGATCCCTCTGCAAACAACAGTGGACAAATCCATTAGTAAGCACCAGACCATTCCAACAGTGTATATAGAGTATTTCTACCTTTTTGTGTTATATTGTATGTAAACTGTTGCACCTTGGGGAATGGTTTTCTGAACACCAAGGACATAAAATCCATCAGCATCCATCACAGGGATTCATTATTCATGCATTGGTGCACTGTGCTCCACATTCGCACTCTATGTAGCATGTTCATAAACTGAAAGACTCTTATGTAGAGCGTTCCTCACCTCTGGCCTATTTTCACAACAACATTTCTGTTTTCTCTAGAAAACATGATACAGTATGATCAATGATGTCCAAAGAAAGTAAAGCCTCAAGGCTGAAAGCTTCCAAAGGGTGCATAGAGATCTACAGTTGGGCGTGGGCTTGATTTTGTTTCATTTTTCTTGTTTGCTTTGAGTTTACCACATTTCTGTGGACCTTACTTGAGCGTCACTGCCACCTATATCTACCATGCGGTAGCGTAACGGGTACAGGAGCTCCATGGCTCCACTGTAGTTGCCTCGGTTGTACTCCATCATAGCCCGACACATGGGTACACCTATAGTCTCAGCCAGATGATGTTGCTGATTGTCCCCCGGCTCCCTGTGAAGAAAAGTAGTGGTTTCAAAAAAAGAAAAGACATTTCTTGGTAAAGCAGGTTTAGAAACTAGTGCTCAAGAAGAATGCTTTTTGGGTTTTATCTCTGTACAGGAATAAATCTTGGATTGCAAGAATGAAATACTTATTTTACTACAAATGTGATACTTATCTTTGTACATCTATAGACACCTCACCAAATTGTTTCACCAAGATGGATTAGACACAAAGGATGATATTTACAAGGATTTGTATCCCTTTTATAGGTGCTAAAAGGATTGCTTTTGCCCTTATTTTTGTGCAGGTATGTTTGGTTTCATGCAATATGTATTTTAAGGCATTCCAGTTAAAAATATGGGAGGAGTGAAAAAAAATTCATACACTACTGACTGACCACTGTGGCAGAGGAACCTGTGTCTGAAATGTAACATCTAAGAAAAGAAGATGTAAAATATTAATTTATCAGACATACAATATGGGTGAGAGACTAAGGCCAGGTCAAAACAGAAGCTGGCAGAGCAAGAGAGAGCATAGAGAGAAAAAACACAAACTAAAAACTGCATTTTACAATGTCTTTACCTGAGCTCTCCACAACATCACAAGACAGAGGAGCAAAAATGCAACAACCTGTTATTTTTCAAGTCATTACCTTTCTGTTTCCTGCAGTGGCCTGCTACTTGAATATGTGGTTTTCCTGACTTTTAATGGCTCATGGCAGCTCAAGTCCAGTTTGAATTAAGAGTTGAAAGGTTTTACCATAGATCTCGCACATTCATGTCTCATATTTCATTGAATCATTGATCTTTTTGTTGTACTGACAACATCAGACTGTTCAACTAATATGTCCACAGCCTTCTTTTTGGAGGATGAATACATGGTTTCAGTTCCATAAATGTCACCAAAAAAAAAAAAAAAAATGCAAAACATATGAAAATAGTCAGGTATCACATCTTACTTAGCAGCACTTTATGCAAATCGGCTGAACTGTGACCAGGCTCATTTACATCTGTAGTCTTAGGAAATACCCTGTTAAATTAAAAACGATGCAAACTTTTGCGTCCCTGACAGTTATTTACAAAAGGTTTAGTAAATATCCCCCAAAGTACCATGTTGAATCTTTAATTAATTGTGTGCGTAGTTCATTCTGGAAAACATGTTTGGTTTCTCATATCAAAATAATTTTTGAATTAAATTATTCAGAGAGGATTTAAGCACACAGATCACAAACTGCTTCTCAGACAATGAGGGACTCTTGAGATTAAACACAGACCTTGCAGGTAGCTGCACTTCAAACACCAGCCTCAAGTCAATTTTATAGAGGAGATGTAATGAAATGAAAGCTATGAATGATGCTAATATTTAATCTCTTTCATTAAAAACATTTCATGTAAAATTACGAAAATCAATAAAATCTAGGAAAAGCTCCAGGTTGGTTTATTTGGACAGACTGACAAGGATATTAGAGCATTACTCTACTGAACTGTGAAAGGCATGAATATCCAAGTAGAATTCACTTCACTGTAAGGCCAGAGATTCCATACCACTGTGAGGCTTTCTTGGATTAGCTAATGCTTAGAGTCGCTGCCTCCAACTGTAAAATTACATTATGGCAAAATATGGATTATGTAAAACTGTGCAATCCTTCCAAACCAAGGTAATAAAAGTGACACAGTATATGTGAGTGATGGGATTAAATAAATGCAAAGCTTGAACATGTCTGCTGCTTGCCTGATGATTCAAAGTAGAGCTAAGCTCAGGATAAAAAAATCTGTTTCTTACTTAGGAAGTGACTTTAAGAGCTGCTTTTCGCCCCGAAGGTGCATCATTTCCCAACTCTTGTGACTTGAGTTACTTTATGTAACAGTGAAAAAACATGAGAATTTAAAAGGATTTAAATGGCAGATTTTCTGTGGGTTGTGTGCTGGACAAAATGGAGAGCACAGGCTGTCCATGGTCAGGATGCCAGAACACATTATAACCACAAAAACTCCACAGAGGCAGCAGCTGCTGGTATAACATCTGCTACAGAGGGAGGACCCTGGTCTCTGAGATGGACTGCAGCTCATCTGACTGCATCCGCTCTCTATCTCACCATCCTACGCTCTGCCTTGTTTCTGTCTCTGTTTTACGTAAGGCCTGGGTGGCTCTTATGTAAGGCTGGCAGAGTGTTGAGGTGTGCAGTGAAGAGAAGAAATGGTGTGGAACTTACTTAGCCAATTCCTGGAGGCCCTCAAGCAGACGCTGAGAGGTCCCACTCTCTTTAGCTCCCAGCGACACCATGAGGAAGTGGAGGTCATTAAATAAGGTCACGTGATCATCAGTGTGAGGCTGCGTTACCTGGAGCAGCTCCTGCCAACGATCCTTCACGCACACACCTGAAACATGTACCAACACAAATACAAATATTGCTTGCAGGCTGCATAAAGGCTCAAAATTTATAAGAAAAACATATTTTTTTGAAATGTCAAGAGACTCATTTAGTCTCTGTTTTACTTTGAATAGTGTAAAAAAAATATGGTCAGTGGTTCTGCTTATTACACCCATTTCTAACACCTTAAGTTTCAGATTAATGAGGTATGATAAGTGGGATTATCTCACCTCATTAGCAGGTTCACTTTAAACCATACTATCTTAAATTATCTTAAATTAGATGATGCAGTTGCCCTTCAGCCCATTAGCAACATGTTAACAAATGTTGCAGCATTTACATCAGGCCAATTAGTGTCATTTCAAAAACCTCCTTCTCAGCGATGACACGCATCTTTTCCTGAATTTTAATCAAAGTCTGATGCGTAATGTCCGAGATACCGTGTGTGACAGACAGATAGGAAGATCAGAACTCTCTTCCTTTCTTTAATGAGATGCTATGTGAATTCCCACATTACCCCGCAGCTTACCCTCCATTTCCAGTCTGCAGAGCATTGAACTGGCATCTACGGTGTCCAACATGGATCCTGTGGCTTTACAACGTCTGAATACCTGAGGGAAACAGGACACATTTTCACTATTCACCTTGAACACTGAAGGGTGTAACATACAACTTCCTCCACACAATGACTCTTTTCACATTAAACATTCATGAATATCAGCTAACTTGATGTAAGAATTTCTCTTGTGTTCAAACTTAAGTCAGTCCTGAGTAACATTATGAAATGTACTCGTAAAGGTCCAGGACGTCAGAGAGCTTTACTCTCAAACTGTCTCTAAGACTCTCTCTTCAAACTGAATTTGATTCTGCTTGTTCACACTTGCCCTCAGGACTCCCAAGGAGCACAACACATTGCTTTTAGTCTGCATCCCCTGTGTTCTGGTACATGCATGACTCAGAGAAGAACACAGAGTGTACTCAGATGGATACACCATTAACATTTAGAAGGCAACTCTCAACACAAACAAACCTGGTCATCGTATATTTGCAGAGCGGCTTCGTATTGCCCCTGTGGAGGAGGAAGAGTGAGGTGAGAAAGACAAATTTGAATGACTTCAGACTTGAGTGATAAGCGAGGTTGATAGATTGTGTTGCACAGATGCAAACACAAATTAATCTCCCAATATCATCAACTCCAGACTTCAAATTACCCGGGGGAAAGGATATCATAAATACATGTTCCACAAACACTCCTGCTGCCAATTATTCGCTTGACTGAGAAAACTCATTATAATCTTTACCTTCTCAATGAAGTATAGAGCCCAATGCCAATAGTTATGACTGGCCAGGACGTCAGATACCTAGAATTAAACAACACATATTTCAAATATTTTTCCTAGGGCTATCTTAATTTGTAATTTAACTCAGTGGCCTCTGAATGAACTATACAGTGTTAGTGAGATGTTAATCATAAAAAAAACACTCCTAAGGAGTTGTACCTGCCAGTCTTTCTCTCTACCCTCCATGAACTTCAAGCCTTTGTCCACTTCTGCCTTCATCTCATAAACATGGGCTACAGAGTGGACAGACCAAGCATCATCTGGGGTCAGAGTGAGGCCCTGCACAAGAGAATTTAACAGAAGCCATGACAACAAACACAGATACAGAAAACTACTTTTTTTGTTACAACAGAGTAAAATGACGATTCAAAAATAATGGCATGCTTAACTCTCAGTTACTATCTTTCCTTTTGTCTATGATGTTGCTCAATCTTTTTTCAAGTGACCCTCATGTCATAGTTGCTCTGTAAGCCTTAGGCATTCAGCAGAGAAGCTGCTGAGGTTTGAATGAGCTGCTTATTATTGGTCTTCGACAGCAAATTACTTGGTGAGTTGAACTAGCTCAATCAGCGCAAGCACAGACTTCCTAGACCACCCGGCAAAAATAATGGCAGCAGAGTGTACAACAGAGTATAACAGAGAAAAAAAATCTCACCTCCATGGCTACTTTCTCAGCCTGGTCATAGAAGCGAGTCTCCAGGAGACCAAAGGAATACAGTCCTTTCAGATAACTGAGAACACAATGCACAAAAATCTCTCATTACAAAATAGTTGGATTTATTAGGTTCTCCAGGATGATGAAGAGCAGACACAGATTTTGTGAACATACCTCAAACAATAACAATGACAGCTTAAGGTCAGAAATGTGAGTGTTTGAAATGACCCCAATTTGTAAAAAAAACAAAAAAATCAACATTATTATTAGATCGCTGTTTACTTTTGTGTGCCATCACCAACTTTACTGTACTTTCCTCACATCCACCCGCCTACCACCCATACCGCTGCATTATCAGGTATATTATAATGTGCACGGTGTTTCAGGTCCTTGTTTGACTTTGATGATCCTCCTTGCATATTTTATTGCATTCTTATTATTTTTCTTCTGTGTGTGCGTGTTTCTACATATACTGTTCATACATTGACACATACATTCTTATAGGCAGTTTCCTGTGTTTTCACTAAATCTGCATATATAATGAGCTAATCCTGAAAAACATTATTTTCTAAACGAAACAAGATGTGAACATATCACTGACATATCATTACCTTTTAATTGAGGCAGTGAACTTCTTAGCAAACAGCAGTTACTGAGTAACATTGTCGTATTTGTATGCACCTGGTGAATTTAAGTCCAGTATTCACTCCTTTTAGCTCTGTTTTTGGTCTCTACCAACTCCTGAGGGAAATATCTGGCTCTTCAGCTGCTAAAATACTACACTAGATTCACCAGCTAGTTGCTAAATGTGTCTATATGATGGTTGGTGCTAAGCAGGTAGTGTGTCATTTGATACATTGTTAACAACAATTATAGCTGCTTTAAAGACACCTTTGATTTGCATCTCCTACAACAATGCACCCAAGATGGCTGATATGCTAAATTGTGTGCAGTTATTTGTAGATGGTGCTACATGTGAGTTTTTTAATAGATACCTGTTATACATTAGGAATTCTTAATTGTTAAAAACAATTCCATTGACATTCATTGTATTTGCATCTGAGCTATTTTATATAGTACAAACAATTTTTCAAAATGTGCAAAATCACACACAGATTAACTGTACATAAGCTCATTATGATTACATGTACAGTTTATGGGTTGCTATGAGGTATATGTATGATTCAGGAGTGTTTTAAAGCACACATTCACTCCCAATACATCTATAACTCCACCAATACATTTTGTTCATTGAGTTTTCATATGATTTTGAAGATACCCAAATTGCTGCTTTGGTAGAATGTGCTATCTTTTGTACCTGGACAAAGGCATATGTGGTTTCCAGTGAGGCAACACCCTGGCCACAGAGTCCCTCATCGGGGTTTGGGCTCCCATGTAGAAATAGGCATCGTGGGCAAACTTGAGGGCCAGCATATCAGTGGGGTGATCAACCAGAATGTCCTCCCATACATCACAAGCCTTGGGAAAATTTCTAAAAGAAACATCAGTCACTGTTAAAGACAGGCACATTTCTGTGAAATTATGAAGGACAACAGAATGAATGAACCATGGGATTGACAAAGATGTCAGTATACTTTGTGCTGAATGGAGAGAATTAGAGGCTCTAGAAAATCATAAGTATCGCCCAAAACAATCTTGAGAAACAAAATGTCTTCTCAATATTACCATATTTCCATCTTTTCCATGGGGAAATAAGACGCTGCAGATAAAATACAAATATTACTGGCTAGACTGTGACTGAAATTTACAGAAGAGTATTTGGCACAATGTAGATGAATGTTGTAGATCTGAAGTATGGGACTGCATCTGCTACTATACAGTAGACAGAGACAAACAACAATTTGTTGATGAATGAAATTTGGCCTAAAAGTCATTCTAGCGATCCTTTGTTGTCTAAAAAGACAGCATTCTTTCACAGGCAACCTATTTCCTCTGGCATGGTAATAAACAAAACTCATCTGTTCTCAGACCTACTGTTGACTGGCTGCAGCATAGCCCTGACTTCAAAACAACACTGAATCAGTTGGAACTGCCTTTTGGACAGATTATTGAACAGTTTAATAAACAGCACACAGCTTTTATAAAAAAAAATCTTCCTAGAAACAAATTCATTAAATATATTCCATATTAAAGCCTCTACACGTACAATTGTTGTGTGATTATAAAATCTTCCAAATGTTCTCCAGACATAGTATTTGGTCCTCTGCCCTCTGAGTCCTTTAAATACTGTCTGGCAAACTCCAATTGGACTGTCATGTTTTTTACTTAAAGTGGCTTCTGTGTAGACGCCCTACCATAAAGGCCTGAGTGCTGCGGAGATGCTCATTCTCTTGGCAGGTTCTGCCCGCTCTGCAGAAGACTTCTGAAGCTCTGTTGAGTTCTGAGTGATCACTGTGTCCTTGGTCACCTCCCTGACCAAGAATCGTCTTAGTCCTGGTCCTGGTAACATGTTTGTAACATGTTTCAAAAAGTGAAATTACACTGTATCTCGTGTTGCTAGACTTGAGATGACCCATTACAACTTCAAATTGCACTTGTGGTCTTAAGATCCCTACTTGGGATTCACTCGCCCTTATATGACAATATTCTCCCTGTTTTCACTGTATTTCCTGTGGCAACCTTGCTCGGGATCTTACCCATGTGAGAAGAGCTCCATAGCCTTGACATGGAGCCTTTCTCTGGGAGAGATGTCCTGGCTGTTGGCCAACTCCACTGTTCGCCTCACTGCACTTGCCAGACGCTCATTCAGCCGGGTGGAGCTTGTCGTTCCCACCAGCTCCAGCCCTGTGCTGATCACATGGCCCATAACTACAGGGAAAACAAATCAAACTGGTCTTTTCTTTTTTTTTCTTTATCACTACAATATAACAGTTAACATGAAACATCACGTCCTCTTGTAAAGGTTTTTCTTCTGAACTGAAGTAAACTATGTAGAAGGGCCCACACCAGTACCTGCATTCAAAGGTTAAGCTAGGCCTCTCAATTTCTGTTAATGTTTTTTTTTTTTACCATTACCACTATTGCCCTCATGATAACATGAAGTGGCACACTGGTAACTCTGTCAACTAACTTCAAACTAGATGTTTATTCCACCCATAAATTACAGTTAACAGTGCTATATGTATGTTTTCTCTGCTGCCGAGCATGGTTTCCTGCCACTGTTGGTGGTGGTGATAATGATTGCTTGCCAAGAGCTTCTGTCAAGACAAATGATTAGGATATGCCCTCTGGCCCTCTCATGCAGACTACACGCTACAGAGACTCACTATAGCAAAGTAGCATTACAAGACGGGACAGGCTGGGATAGCTGGATAGCATGCTAACTTCTGCAGAAGAAAAGAAGTGATAGAAATGAAAGCAAAACAACAGTTAATATTTGCTCTCCATCAATGAAGACACCATTTGGTGAGTAAAGGAATGAAGTTTGATGCTGATCTTGCAACGTTTCATCTAGACTGGTAAGTAAACAGTTGCCAACGCTGGCTATGTAGTGACAGCAAAAAAAGTACATACCGCACCTTTAAACAAGCTCAACAACATGAAGTTACAAAGTTCCTAATGATCCTAAATATTGATTGACAAATGTTTTTCTATCTAAATTTATGAGAACAAGGCCACTAGAAAAGAAAATTGTTTCATTAATATATTCAGATTGGATATATCTAATTTTTACACTTGTAAATGGTGTTAAACCTGAACCTCAATTTCTTTTGCTTATGAACTTATAACACAGGAAACATTAGAAAACAGCTTTCAAGTTTCCAGGAGCATCAATAAATGTTGAACCTGCATAACAGAAGCTTGATTGATTGGCATGAACCAAAAGCATATACTTAAAATTTGATTTGAACTCAGCTTGATGAGAGCTCAAGCTGAACACAAATCATTCAGTGGCTTAGTTTGACAGACAGGTACTGATCAACCTCTGCCTCATGATCCCAGGGTCAAAAGATCAGTGCTAGGTAGGTAAGGTAAATAAATGACAGCATAGACAGTCATAGCCAGCTATCCAAGGTTGTCATATCTTCGTCAGTAATAAGTCTACGAACTAACTACTAAGTCTTTTTCTTTTCTTTTAATGGCTGACACTTTGACTTGTCAAATTTCCATTAATTGTCCCAATGAGTCATTCCATTGAATGGTTAGCATCCAAAATACTTTACCAGGATCCTGGCACTGGTTCACCTAAATGGATTGCAGTCATTAGTAATGTTATTAATAACCCGTGCAATTTTTATAACACATCAAAACATCTGCTGTCTGCAGTTGTCTGGATATATGCCTTTTATAGGTCATGGTCCCTATTTATCTGCTCAGATTACTCAGTATGTTTAGCCCAATTATACATTGTTAATTGACCCCAAAGTCTTAGAAATGACACAAGAGTTTTTATGATTGTTTTTGAAATTCCCTAAAAAAGGACTTAAAGGAGCTCTTATGATGTCTGTTTATTTACAATACAGAGGGTTAGAGTCTTTTATAATTAGGTTTTTTTCTGCAGTGGATAATTTTAGCACTGTTACCTTCATCCCTTGCTTTTTATCCTTAATTCTTAACCTTGATTTGCTGCTGTCTCCTTTTTCAACTCCATGCTGCTACCTTGCTACCTCCTATTGAGATTTATTTTGGAAGAGTTTCTCATCAGGACTTACCTGGTTTAATGAAAGGTTAAATGAAATAAAGGAGTAATGTTTGACCACAACTATTTACCAAAGTTAGGATCAGCTGCCTGGATAGCAGAAATGCATCCTTCAAATCCTCCCAAGGTTTCATCGTTCCTCCATTTCACATACTAGGAGCCAAACAAAATTGAGATGATGTTAATTGTGAATTCAGTTTTCAATGACAAAATGACAGTGTGTGCACAGTGTGGGAGGAGAGGTTAAGGTTACCTGCGTGAGTAAGGCATCATATAGTTTGCAAGCCTCATTACTGCTCGTGGACAATTTAAGACCCTCCGCCCTCCAGGCCTGTAAGAGACAGAGGTGTTAGGCCGCAGATAATAATACTGTATGTCGTAAATTCTGTATTCAAACACAAATTTATTGTCACAGTAACAGAGCAGCTTCTCTGTCTTCCAAGTCACCTAGGTGACTGTGTAAACTGTGCACATGTATGTTAGCTAAACTCCAGTGTGGGCAGAGGTCAACGATTTACCCAATCAAGTTACAGTTTTCAGTGTCATTAGTAATATGAAACAAAACTGCCTACGCCGACAAAAGAAGTTCCTAATTCTGACAGATAGGAAGTATCTTCATATATCAAGTATCAGGTATCTTCAGCTTCACAAAGTTAAACCTGCTGCACTTCAAGCCAATCAGTACTCTGTGTAAACTGAGGAGAATAACAACGTTAAATCCTACATCGCCATATTTTCGCCGTCGCTTATACTGCATTCTTGCTTGCATGTATAACTGCGGTACACATTTGTCGCCACTTAATTTCACACCAAACAAACATCTTAAAGTAATTTCCTTTCTCGTGCTATACCTTACTGACATGTTTATCGTTTTAGAGTGTAAGTTAAATGCTGCTCCATGAAACCTCAACACTAACCTCACAGTCCCTGAAACTTGCAGCAATCATTTCTGAGTTACAGCTGTGTGCTCTCCCTGCCTTCGACCCCACTGTGACTGGAGCTGTATTAAATTCACAGGAAACAGAAAGACCGGGACTTGGCATGTTTCAAAATAAGTGCATGAACAAAGCGTGTAAAATGTATATTGAATGTATATTGAAGTACCGCGTACTTTCCTTTTTTCGTGCGTACGTTTGTTTTTTTAAGAGTGGTGTGTGCTACTTTAATGTGAGGCGAAAGGGAAAAAACAGCGCTATTAACTGCGGATTTTATTTCCGTATTTTATTTTGTTATTTTTGTTGTTGATTAGTCTGCACACAGCTTTTGCGAGTTTAAAGTGATAGTTCATTGATTTTCCACAGATTGAGGTCTAATGTCTTCTGTGATACTGGCAGAGCTTTGTCGAGTCTTAGAAATATATCCTTGTTAACTTTTTGCAAGTGCAACACCAAATTGCTTGACTATCTCTTTAATTTGTCTTTGCACCATCAGAAAGCCAACATAACTGTTTCCCATATGTAACTAAGGTTTACACAGCAGGCAGTTTCATTGGTAAGAAGCATGTTACTAGACCGTATAGCTGACTCTATTACATAATGCAACTACATCCGTTTGGCTTTAAACTTCATTTCTTTGTTACAGTATCCCATGTTTTCTGCAGAAATCAATAGATGAGAATGAGAAAAATGAGTGGAGAAACATTTTAAAGAACTGCATTGTTTTATTGCCGTTTTCAGCATACATCCAACACCCCTATGCATTTTAGCTACATGAAGCATTTACATTATGAGTCGTGTCAACAGAACAGTTTAAAAATTAGGATTCTTTTTTTCTTTTTCTTTTCTTTTTTTTTTTTTTTACATATAATACAGTTTGCACACATGTTAATAAATATCAATACAATCATGTCAAACTTATCACACACCATCTAAAACAACAACCCTTAAAATTATGTAACTTTTTTTATTTACAGCTCATACCAAGTCATAAATATAGCCTCTAGTGTTTCTGTGCTGTAAAACAGTGACCACTTGGAGTATTATTATTATTATTATTTTTTTTTTTTACAGTTGTCAAAAAGGCTATTAGATTTGACTACCCACCAGATAAACCATAATGTTCCTGTCTGATGCAAGATGCTCATAAAGCACCCTGCATTACTTCAGTGCCCCAATTTAAAATCCTATTTTTGTTTTCTTGGGGACCTGCTGTATAAAAATTTGAAAAAAAGTAAAAATCTTGAGTTCCAGTGGGATACACAGATGTGACTACCTCAAAAACAAGTAAACTCAGAAAAAAAATATAAATATCAAGAATGAAAATGAAAAAGGCATCTTGTTCAAGGGTGAAGGATTAACACTGCCATGTACTGATCTAAGTGATGTGTAGTGTGAATGTTCTTGTGGTGTTCTCCTTGCATATCAACCAACAGAGACAGTCCTGTGGCACAAAATGAGTGATGTGAGCTACACTGATTTCCCCATTAGCAACAGTGACATCAGATTCATGAATTATAATAACACCACAATGTTAACACGTATGGTAGAAACCTCTTTGAACCGGAAAAGACGGGTTTAGCTCGCTACTGTTTACCAAAGTAGGAAACATAAAAATCCAGTATTGAATATGGACAAGTATTTGTAAACAGTAATGGTCAGTGTGATGTACAGTGAATGGCATCTCACAGAGAGGCCCATCATTATCGAGTCATGTCAAGTGATTAAATGCTCACATATAGTATAAGTCTTTATTCTATGTCTAGCTATCAAAGACAATGTAAAGATCTTCTATGTGCCTGCAGCCTTCATTCCTGACATGCAATGGCTTATGGTTGCATGGGAGTTATGCACATGTGCAAGATAATGAGATTCTGGGCACTCTCCTGTGAATGCACAACAAAAAAAAGTTTATGTTAAAAGCAAACAAAAATAATAAATACATAAAAAACATGGCCATATTTAATGGGTTCTTTGTGTTGACTCACTAAACACTGTGGGGGGGGGGATAGGGGTTTGTGGTTCATTAGGGTACTGAAGTTTATCACTAGATAGAAAGGCAGCTTCAGCAGAGGATGTCCTTCCTATAGTCAAGACTGAAAAGACTGAGCCTGAAGACATCGCTCCAGCTTTTATTCACACCTCTGTAGCAGTCCTTTTTCAGAAAAGAGAACAACTTCATTCGCTGAAAACGTGACTTGCTCTACACAACTATACACAAAAACACAATTCTTTACAATTCCTTTACATCAGCAGGACCAAACTGCATTCTTCCCTTTAGACAATCGAGAATGAAAAAAGTCTTTCAACATTCTCCCAAAGGCCCCCCCTCCTTCTTGCTTGAGAGGATCCACTTCAAGGCTGTGATGATAAAGTTGCGAATGTGCTCGCCTCTCCACCCACAGAGAGAGAGCCCAAGCAAAACTGCAGAGTGATTAACTAGAACTGCCTTTGGGCAGAGGATATGTAAACGTTTCAGACTGCTTCAGTGTCAGAGGCAGCCGTAGTGTTTGTCTGTGTGTGGCGGGGAAATCTTTACACATTCACTGCTGCAGGTGTGACAGTTTCAGACAAACTCTGCCCGTATCGGTGTTCAGCAGACTATTCTGATCACAGATGACCACGCGAGGCAGAGAACGCCAAATCACCAGTCGACCACTTTTCACTGAAACTGATGAGCAATTATGTCACTCCTCTCAGGCCCAGTTGAGGTTGAAGCCTTTGGAGAGCATGACAGCCTCCAGGTCCTTGTCTTCCTCCTTCTCCCGAAGCCTCTGCTCCTCCAACAGGGCCACGAGGGCATCACGCTGCTCCACCACCTCCAACATCTCATTCAGGATCTGCTTTTCCTGAGCAAGCTCCTTTTCCGTCTTCAGGTGGTCTGAAAGAGGGAAAGGAAAACAAGGAATTAAAGAGGATCGATAAATAGAGAACAGATAGGTGCTATGAAACAGGGCTGTTAGTTAATTAACATTCCAGCATTTACCTTCCACAGCCATTCGTTCCCTGAGTTCCTGCTGCAGTCGGCTCTGTCGGTCCTCCAGCTCCAGCTCTCTGGCACTTGGGGACAGAAACAAAGTTTGTTTCACTGATCAATTATAGCCGTCAACATTTATGTTTCATGTGTTTCATTGTTTATGTGTCTTCATTTACATATGCAGATTTTTGAAAATGATTAGTTGTTCCAAAAAAAGATTAATTCATCTAAAAAACATTCAGTAAATGATAATGAGATAACACTGAATAATTTAATTACTTGTCAGAATGTAATAAAGGTGTTTCTCTGAATGGATTGCAAATGTGACCTCATATCATATTATTATGTTACAAAATGATTATGACAAACAATCTTTTTATACTAATGATGTCACATTAATAATAATCATAAAATAAGTAAATTAGTATTCTTACATAATCAGTGGATTCTGTATTAAATTATAATTGCCTTATACTTTAAATTAACTTATTACTTAAAAAAAATATTTTTATATAGTAATATTTTTTATTATAACATTATTACATCATCCTCAATTTACCACATTAACAGGTTTCATTAAACACTAGCATCAGGGCTCAAGAAAATGTTATTTGTTGGTCTCCTGGTCCTAAACTTTAGTCTGGGTGAAATATCTCAACAAGTAAATCCACACATTGACAACTTGACACAACAAACAACCATGGTCCTCAGAGATAATCCCTGCCAACTGTGATGATGACTCAATACCCGCAGGTGAAACTTTCCACTTGCCCAACACTTGTGTTTACCATGTGGCCGTCAGCAACACTTAAAGAATAATGCTAAAATATCAGGCTGACATGATAATGTTTAATGATGATAATGAATAATGATAATGGTCATCCCCCTTCTTTCTTTTTTTTTTTTTTGTCATGTCATGTAAGCATGCAGGTGAAGTGATTAACAGTCCAGCCACTGATCTTCAGGTGGCAATAATGCTTCAAGATGCACAGCAGGGAAGTAGGAGAAGAAGAGTGCTAGCTTGTAAACATGGATGTAAACAATGTAAGGTTCAAACTTCTAAGAAAAATCAGATTCATAAATGTTTTATGAGGGAGGAAATGCACCCAACACATTTGTTAGACCTCAAGGATACACACAAAGCATTTTGGTGTGTAATACCAAATGTAAACATATCTTTTTCTCTTTTTTTTTGAATGTCAATCTTGATAAAAATACAACTCAGTATGGCAAAAAAAGTCTGATCTTGTTTAGCAATTTCTAGACTTTTTACTACATTTCAAAAAGTTATTACATAACTAATGAAATTATCAGTTGGTACACACAGCACAATCGCATCTACATAAGAATATATAAAATAGGATGAAACAGAAGACATTTTGAACCTTCTCTATGGTCAGCAGAAGAGTAATTAATATAGCAGTTACACTTAGTTACACTTTGACTAATCAGTCCATCAATTAGCTTACCCATCTCATCAGTCAAGTAATGTACTTACAATATCATGAGTTCTGACTCGTAGCGGACCAGGGCATTTTTCTCCTGCACCAGCTTGAACCACTCTTGCATTAGCTTAGGATCGTCCTTCTTGCCCATGCCTGGAGGAAAGACGGAAGCACGGAGTGTGAAATCAGATGGCTGGGAGACACTTATGTCACACAGACAAGGACTGACACAGGCAGTGCAATGACAGCCAAGCCAGGATGTCCTCGCTGAGGGATGGTGAGGTGGAAGGATGGACTCGACACCATAATTAAAGATGGCGCACAGAAGATGGCGTGGAGCTACTTGGTTTCAACTTTGGCTAGTGCATTAACTAACACACACACACATACACACACGCACACACACGCACACAAACGCCCACAAACGCCCACAAACGCCCACAAACGCCCACAAACACAATACCTGTTGTTGCAAAGTTGAGAGTTTGTGTTACCCAGTTTGGACTGTGTCAGACGTAGCTACTCCTTAGGAGCAACTACCTCCTCCTATCAGTTTTTTTCAGAGCGAGTAAGTCAAAAAAACAAACAAACAAACACACCAAGTTATCCAAGTTATTAAAGAGAAGGAAACCCAAGGACCTATAAAAAATCTCCATCCTCCCCTGCTCACATATTGACCCACCCAGCACAAACAAAATCCCTTTAGACCCCACTGATGCTGAGCGGTTTTAGGTTAGAAAAGAACATGAATTATTCTGCTGCCTTCACATCTCCAATTACAAGTTCAAATGTTCATGGGATGACTCATCACCGAGACCAATAGCGAAGTTCACACTCCTCTATTAAGTCTGCCTCAGGGAAGAGCATGTTCAGTGCTGCTGGCATCATGCAATGCAGTTGTGCAGTTTTCATAATCAGCACAATCAGTCGGAGCACGGAACAGCTGCACCCTTCTCCTGCAGTCCCACTGTGTGCAGAGAAGACCAGTCTATGTAGCATGCTTAGAAAGGTCTGCTGCCGGGGTGATGCATCCTTTCATTTATCAGACTGCAGCAGGTGGAGCCAAGCAGTTTCAATGAAGCACCAAAAGGCAAACCTCAATGTAGCGTGACATACTTAGCTGGGGAAGAGGAGGCTCTTGCAAAACGAAAAGGAAAAACATTGTACACACATAAATTGCATGGTTGTGGTCTTGGGGGCTGGCTTTTGCTAATTAACAGACAAGGGACAGAGAGAGGCAAAGCTGGAGAAGAGCTGCTCACACTAGAGAGGAATACAAAATGTGGAAACAAAGGAAGAATTACAAAAGCAAGGCTGAAATTCCAAACCTATCCTACAATAGATGTTTTTTTTCTTTTTCTCTTATAGTATTTCAAGCTGTTCCACCAGCACCAACCCTCAGCTCAAGGCTCCGAACACAAAGGAGAGAAACCACAATAAAAGGAACAAAATCCAGCTTGCACACAAAAAAACAGGCATTTTTCTTTACACGCATTAGAAGCTCGGGTAAAATTTCCACTGACAGGTGTTAGATATAGGAACAAACCAGATGATCCATTAATTTTTAAGACTTGTTTTGTGCAAGAATTGAATATTCATAAAAAATCATCACACCATGCAAGTTTCTCACTCCTTGAACCACAAACCTGCCCGCAAGCTAGCCACGTCTCAGGTGTTCACCGCTCAGTTTTATCATTTTAGAATTACGTGACATTTTTATTCAAAGGATCAGGAGCAGAGCTCCTGAAAAGAACTAAAACAAAGTGGATACGGAAATGGACTATGAAGCTTTACAATTCATTTTAGCCAAACAGAAAACAGAGCACATGCTGTTGATTAAAGACACACGACAGCAGAGTAGTTTCCCCTTTAAGTGAATGCAGTGACTTAGAATAACACGGAAAAATCCTCTCTCTGTTTCCATTTTCTAAAGACACCAGACTTGTGCGGTTAAATGAGAAAATTTGCTTGATTAACTAACTACAACATAAATGTATTTGCATCAGTATGAATACACATGTTGTCAAGCTACAATTAACCATTTGCTACAGCCTGCTCCTGCACAGTAATGGCCAATCATAGCTTAGTAACCGTAACTAGGCATGGAAGGAGTGTTGCCAGATAAGCCTACAACCCAACCAATCATCATAACATTGAATCATTTTTTATTTTTCATTTTGGGGAGGGTTTTTTATTTTTTCTACCAAGTGTTTTGAATAATGTTGCTTGAAACATTAAATGTCTTCATTTATATGAGCAGTTTTGACAAGTTTTTGATCACAGAGCTATGTCCAAATAATATTTGAATTAGAAAATGAGTTTCACGTTCAATCTAGTTGCAATAAACTAAAATGACATTTGGTTTCGACAGTCATCACTTATCAGCTATTGCGTGTCGAGCTGAGCCTACTGAACTCAGTGCCCTGTCAATCTCAATCACACTACTGCAAGGAGAGGAGAGGCTGACTGTTTGAAATACAGCCTAACTTTTTGACCCTAATAGTAGAAAAAGTACTTTAAATTATCAAAGCCTAGTAAAAAAAAAAAAAGAAAAAAGAAAAAAGTAGCCCAGTTTGGCTGCAAACTGCCCAAGTCAAGGGTCATGTCATAATCTGTTTATCTGGTTACACGTTATATAATCCCAAAACTACCTGTTCAGGCCTGGAACTCCCACCCCATTGGAGCCAAGACGCTAGTATATTAGAGTTTACAGTAACAATAGCAGCTCTGTTTGGCTGGGAGAGATTACAGTGTAGCAACTCAAGCCAAGAGCGCAGATAAAATAAATTACTGTGTACTGCCATGGTAAACAAGAACAAACAAAATGACCAACTGACCAATAACTGTAACAGCATGCGTTCTGATGCAGTGGACGAAAATCACTTTGAGCTTTTACCAACCTTTTTTTAATTAGTTTCCTCATGATAAATGTCTCGGTACTTCACTGAGTTTTGGGAAGATTCTGGGGAAATCTACTGAGCCTGATCACACACAAACAGTGAGGACAGGAAGAAGAGGAGGATGGGGGGGAGGGGCTGGGGAGGGTAACCCGGTTCTGGAAATCCTTACGGTTGCCATGGTAACCCGCCACAACCGTCAGCAGAGGCGGCGAGGGTTACGTTACCTTCAGGGGAACAGCAGGGGCAGAAGGAGAGGGGTCTTCGGCGTGGCATCCCCACAAAGGGCTCAACTTCCACAAGACAGAGGGAAAGAGTGTGAGGGAGTGATGTAGATGGGGGCATTGGTGGGCAAGAGAGAGAGAGAGAGAATGAGAGAGAGAGACAGAATGGTGGAAATAATACAGGAGGAATAGCAGAGATGTTGGAGAGCGCAGAAAGGTTAGAGGACACAGGGTGTGGGAGGAGGGCGAAAGGAGAAGGGCGAGGAGGGGGAAGAGGGGTGTGGGGAAGAAAGAACATTGAGGAGAAAATCAAAAGAGGGCAGGAGCACTGTGATAGGGAGAAGACAAATCACCTAGAGAGAGGAGGTGGGAGAGATCATCTGTGTGGTGTGAGAGATGGAAAAAGGGGTAAAAATAGGAAACTGAAACAAGAGAAGACAGAAAACCTGGAGCACAGAAAGGGAAAAATAATGCTCCTGTTTGATTTTGCATCTTCAGATAATCTTCAATTAGACAACAGCCCTGCATGTCTGTTATGTTTGCAGTCATGTGCCCAGTGTTTAAGACAGTTTATTAAAGAATGTAATCCCATTATTAAAGCCATTACTGATCACAAGGAAATATATCTCTCCTCACAGACACAGATAATTGCCTCTTCTTTAAAGAGGCTTCAGCTTCTCCTTGTAAACACTACTTCAACATGTTTCGACCACTTGGCTCAATTTGTTTCCAGTGTGCTGACTTTTGAAGTGAAGCTACATCTAAAGTGCAAATTACAAGTTTTCTAATAAGCACTCGCAAAACAGATTTTCTAAAAAAAAAAAAAAAAGAATAAAAAGTAAGTTCATAGATAGAAGATGCTACCTTAAAAAAAGCCCCCAAATTGTGAAATAAATGAAGAATAAATAACTTAAAATGGGGAAAACAAGCTTCGGGGACAATATAGAGATAACTAAGGGAGAGAGATCTTTGATAAAAACACATAAACAAATGATGTATAATTACATGACACAAATAGGAGGCCGACAAGTTTCTCAGGTTGTGGGGTGAAGGAGCTGCAAGAGTGTAATACTAGATAATTACTACAAGGGACTATCACAGAGAACAAAAAAAAAAAGAAAAAGTGCAGTTTAGAATATCTGTTTTGGACAGATCTGAGTCCTCATGAAAATTTTATGGCTTCACCAAATCCTGCAAATATGGTTATGAGATAAATTGTTACCAGGGAGCGCTCAATAAATCCTTAATTGTATGGTAATCATTCAAGTAGGGGATGAAAATTAAAAGGAAAAAACTAGCAGTCTCAGAGTACAGGCATACTTATCCGGACTTTAGATTTGGTGCCCCCTGCAGGGCTCAAGGGCAACCACGCTGACGAAGCAACTATGCACCTTACAATCTGTTAATCAGCTAAAAAAAAGAGTTCTTCATACCTTGATCAAGCAAGACAAAGAAAACTAATTACAAGCTACCAGCAAGCAGAAGTCCTTCTGCAGACACACCGCATCCAGTTTAAAAACAACGCTGGATTTGAGTTGACGACACCTCACGCCCCTGGTCAGCCAGTTAGGTTTGGCGTACGTACAGTTTATTCATCTTTATGTCAAAACTCCACGCAATCTCCTGTCTGATGAGTGACAACAACCAGCAGGACAAAACCACAGAGAAGCACAGGCCCTGGTCAAATATGTGGGAATGCACCTTTTTCTCCCTCCTCTTGAGAGATTCCACCTAAAAAAAAAAAAAAACCCCAAGGAGGAAAAGATGCATTTCCCTCATATTCAAACAAGGCCACAGTCTACAAGAAAACAACATATACCACAAGACGTCTCATCCAGACACGGTGGACACTGTTACTGCTGACTAATCACACTTCAGACAAAGCAGGGTCAAGGGTTGCAACATTGCCTATTAGCACACCACACCACACCACACCACACCACACACACACACACACACAAACACAAACACACACCACACACACACGAACTCGGGGAGTAATGCAACTGAGCAGGTATGAGAAAGTCAAGGGAGCCATTGCTGGGACTACAGGACAGAACTACAGCAGCACAGAGCTCTGAGGGGAAGCTTAGAGCCAGGGCAGCAGTTTAGTATGAGTCAGTCCAGGGCAGGTTATACAATACTTTCACAGTGTGTGTACGTGTGTGTGTGTGTGTGTGTGTGTGTGTTGAGGGTGATGTAAATGTGTGCGTACTGCAACATGTGCCTCTTGTATGATAACATGCTTTTCCTTCATCAATTATATTTTTTGTACAACAAAAATTATAATACTAATATATTTTAGCTTTACTGTAAAAACTCATTACAATCATCACTAGGTGAGATGAAACTAACTGAAAATGTCAGATGATGTAATTTAACTGTAGCAGAATATCACGTTGAGGCAGATCAAAATTAAAATTTTGATTTAATTAATTTAACTTAGACACAATTTATACAAACAAAAGCTGGTGTTATTCAGCATTTTATTACTATCAATAAATCCAATGAAAAGACCAAAACCAACAATTCCTTAGCCTGTCTCAAAATGGGGGGGGGGGGTAATTTGCCTTTATTACATCAGTTGCAGTGAGAGAGAGCGAGACAGGAAAATCAGGGAGAGAGAGAGAGAGAGAGAGAGAGAGAGAGAGAGAGAGAGACAGGGGGGATGACACACAGCAAAGGGCCTTGGGCCAGAATCGAACCTGGGCAACTGCAGTTAGGACTAAGCCTCAATGGTAAGCACTCTACTAAGTGAGCCACTGGGGCGCTTCCATCTCAAAATAGCTTGATTTTCCTTTCGCACTCTGTGGCACTATGTGCCAATCCTCTCTGTTCCTAATTAAGTTGCAAAACTGGTCCCAAATATACAGTGAATTTCCTCAAGTGGTTGGGCACTGTAGTCTTTAGCAAATGTTACCACAACAGGAGAAACAGTGCATTTTTGGGGACTGTTTTCTATTTTCACTGAATAATGTTGATGACAGCAGAACAAGGTATGTTGGGCTGAGCCAAAATGAACTTTATGCCTGTGTTCACCCAGAGCGCTTTATCTCTATGTATATGGGTTTGTCCTTTTCATGCGATTTGTTGCCAAAAATATATATAATACCACCAGCATTATCCTTAAAATCAGAATCCTATAAACTTGTCACGCTGTTTTCCCACCTCAACAATTGTTCTCATGATTTAAACTGTGTATTTATTTTGTATAAGCTGCATAATATGAATATGCACAACACATTTTTAAAAGGGGAGCGCTCTTTATTGAGCATGTTCTGTATGCGGTATGAGTTTGTATGGTAAACAATGTCAGTGCATTATTCTACCCTTTTTATTTTGCTGTCACTATTGGAGTGGTCCTCAGCATATGCTCATTGTTTCATTGAATGCAGCACTGTATATTGCTGTTTGCATTTCTGTCTCTGCAATATGTCGCAGTTTTGTATGTCTGCTGCAGTTTGTATTGTAAAGTCTGCTTGCTGACGAATGACAAATAAAAGCTACTCATTAATTCATTCATTCATCATTCATAAGTTTATAGAGATCAAAGTCGATCTTAAGAGGACAGCATGAGGCCAAGTGTCTGATCTTTGTTTGATGTAAAGAGTGTCTGAACTAAAAACCCAGTGAGGGTGGAAGGATGGGGAAAGGGAGGAAGAGGGAGGGAGGGGAATAGGAGCGGAAAGTATTGCAATGAGGCTAAAAGCCAGCCAGCCAGCCAATCAGCCAGCCAGCCAGTCAGCCAGCCAGTCAAGGTAGATATGATGGGTACAAAGCTCAAGTAGTAAAAAAAGGAAAAAAAAAAAGGGGGGGGGGGGCAGATTGGGTTAGCCATTAGGTTAGTTTTAAAGCGACAGATTTGAAATACATACCGCCCAGATGCAAGTCCAGGATTTCACTGTAATTAGAATCTCCCCAATAGTCTACAATGACAGGGATATATTAGAGATAGGAGTTATTTTACACGGCCCCAAACTGGGCACACAAACACACACACACACACACACACACACACACACACAAAATTCTCCAACAAGTCATGCACATTCTTGCAAACACACAGACACACACGTACACACTGCAGCAACACTCAGAACAAAGAGAGTCCATCAGTACTCACCACAGTGCATAATGCAGTCATATGTGGTTTGTGCAATATTACAGTACATGGCATTTCCCAAATTAATAAAGAGACCGCTACATAGATTTGCTGTATTGCTGTGTACTGGCTCAGTCTCCTTAATTTCACACAAAGCCTCTTGGGCTGTGTTGTGTGCTGACATTTGGAAGGTAAATGTTGTTTGCTTGTATTATGTGCATTTGATTTGACAAAGTTACAGTTGCTCAGACAACGAAGAAGATTTAATTTTCTCCAGTTATGTTCCATCCAATCCATGTGGAACAAGGTTCAATTACAATAATGCAATGATTTAATACTTGGTTATTTCCGACTGAAAGAGTGGCTGAGTGTTAAGCGAGACCTTTGCGTGCAACATTTGAAGTCAGAAAACAAGTATGGATTGTGGTTAGTCACCGTAATAAAAGACATAATAGATAAGATCTCAAATATCAAATAGCAAATATCTGTACCAAGTCACTCAGCCACAGCAAATACTTTCAGTAAACATTCTAATAAAGTAGTTGTCAGCTTGCAACCCAATTTAAATTTGATCTCTTACGTTCTGATTGCATTTGTACAATAACATGATCTGAGTCTTGATAAGAGTACAGAAACTCTCCTCATTGAGAGGCAGTGAAGAGGACAAAACACATCCAGAATGAGCACACACAAATCTATGTCGGGACACACATTCTCCTGATTCGCATGCAGCTCGGACTGACGATGGCGGACATGTCGTGAACGAACAGAGACCAACATGTTCAGAGATGGAGAACTGTTGCAGTGTGTCACCACAGATGGAGCCTACATAACAGTGTCACATGTCATTAATAAAAAATAAATCAAAAGAAAAAAAAGAAAAAAGGAAACTACAGTAAATCTAATACCTGATCTTCTTTTGTGCTGTTTGGGTAATGTATAAGTACCTTTATACAATCCTTTAAGAGAGTAGAGTAGTAAACAAGTTAAACAAGTTAAAACATACTCAAACATTTTATTGAAGGGAAAGTAAGTAGTTACTTGGTTAATCGGAAAATGGCCAAATTTAAAGAAATGTCCAATGCATATGTGCATGCATTTGCATGATAAAAGTTTTTATTCTATTCTGTTACCATCCCCATCAAGTAAATTAGGAAGGAATACACTGTCAGCACTATAGAAGATAACCTCAGAACCTTCCTCTCATACAAAACTCACATCACTTAAATACCATGTTATTGCTACGGCGCACTATTCATGCTTGACACGGTTACAAAACTGTACCAAATAATGAACTGTGCTGCTCGCTATTAAATAACGTATTCTTCACCTCAGAAGTATATTGTCTGTGATAGTCCCTTGTCAAGACTAATTTAGGTTTATTACTTTTGTGAAACGATCATGTCTTTCTGCACACAAATCTACAGGATGAAATACGCTTCAGTACAACTGAATAATTGGTAAATGTGGACGGTGATTTCAACACAGTCTAAACGTTCGCAAAGGGACAGTTTTTCTGAGGTAATGCAATTCTATGTTACATCATCCTAATTATTGATATTACGATTATTCCCTTTGGAGCTCTAGAAAGGCTGAACTTGTGTTATATAAAAGATAAAACATGGTCTCACAGAGCCACCACTGACACAAAAACAAAATTTAATTGACATACATACAGTAAATCACTTGTAAAATGTTAATAATAAGAGTGTTATGAAATTTATTACACCCTTTAGTTCTGTGAATGTGTGTGCTATGTCTATCTGTAGCAGCATTATTGATGCACCACGACACGTGGGACCAAATTGATATATTTTTTTGTGAATGTTTGAAGGTGTAAGTAACAAGTCGTTACCTGCTTCTCCTCTCAAAGCTTTCTCCACGGCTACGCCCCGTTCTTCCAGCTGCCTCTGCTTCTCCTCCACCTGCTCCAACTGTCTCTGGATAATCTGAGCAGACAAGCCGGGAGATGGTCGCATTATTAATGAAGTGCACAAACGCACAAACACACAGTGGCACAAGTGCATTATAAACAACTCAAGTCGCTCTCACGCGGGTGCACAGAACAATAACAATCCTAATTACAAGTGATTTTGTCCCAAAATGTTCAATGGGAGGCAGCTGCAGAGGTTACCTCTAACACTCCGTTGACGCAACAGTTTACTCTCATTAAAAATAAATTTCTTAAGGCGCGTTGGGAGAGCAGATAATTAGAACTGTATTAAGTAGGAGAGCCTGCTTTGATTGGCATTAGAAATATAATTTATGATTTTCACCAAAAACTATTAATATTTCATAGCTCTCCCTCTTCGGTCCAGACCACACTCTCACTTGTCATTGGCAGTGGCAAAGAAAAGGAGGCAGTAATGGAGGGAATGCAGCCTCTGAGGACTTTTGAGTCCATTTTACATGCTCCTTACCCTGTGTATTAAACTCTGGTTACCATGAACAAATACAGCATGAGGGCAGATAAGATGTCTGGCTTTTTGAGACACTCAAATATTTAAATCAAAGTAAGTTTCTAGTGGGGGGAGCTTTAGCTAAATTATCTGATCTGTGCCCACTACCAATAGAAGGGTATGACTTGTCAATTTGACAATTTGATTACAATTTTTAAATTTTTAGAATAATTCAATATAATTATCATGATGAATTACTGCAGTTTCTGTCAACATTGCAGGTACCGTCAGTTACTGACTGCCAGACATTTTAGGGGTGCAACAAATGAAGTCGGTGTGTGGATCCAAGTGAAACCACTTCACTACTTAAAGTAAAATGGGTTTTGCCTTTTTTAAATGACCTATTGGCAAATTCAGCTCACAGACGCCTTCGGTGAAAAAGAGAGGTGCCTTCTGCATCTCATATGTGGTGGTACTGTGTGCACAGTGCTTTGATGAAAAGATGAGATGAAACCTTTGATAGAAGGTGATAGAACTTTGATAGATAACTGGTGTGTGACCTGGTGCAATGGGCAGAAAGACATATTTATAAAAATGAGCTTAGTCTGAAAACTAGTTTCCTCTCTCTCTCTCTCTCTCTCTCTCTCTCTCTCTCTCTCTCTCTCTCTCTCTCTCTCTCTCTCTCTCTCTCTCTCTCTCTCTCTCTCTCTCTCTCTCGAGTTTCCCAACTCTTAAGATTCTCAGTCAGAGCTTGACTTTATCAGTGCTACGCAGCAACAGGCAGTAAATAAAATACCATGGTTTGTGTTCTGCAAATGGCCACTGAGAGGAAGCAAAATTGAGGCGAGCGAGAAGAGACAGCAATCAGTCAATCGCAGTCAATCGCAGTCTTCCTCTACTACATGCTGTATATATAAACAGACCTATACATAACTTCTTTGACATGCATGACATGAATAACTGTGATACTGTTGCATGTCAACAACCCCTCTTAGTGTTTGAAAAGCCATTCAGTACACGACCTCTGTAGGGAAACCAACTAATAGAGAATACTGTACATTCATCCTATTCAACCTTTTTTTTTTCCATACATTGAAAGCAATGTGAAAAGAGACAGAAACCTGTTGTATTGGTAACAATGGAAAGTTGGCATTGGTCAGGTACCTGGGCTCTGTGCAGCCTCTTCAGTTCCTCCTGCTTGGCTTGTCGTCGCGCAGCTTTCTGGACTCTTCGTGTCAGCTTGGCATTCAGCTCTTCCTCTGTGTAGGTTTTCTGGTAGACGAGCAAAAACAGGGGTTAAAAACGTGTCTCATTCGCAAGCCGCTAATCTGAACAGTTGGCTCCATGGGGGCCCTGGCCCTTCAGACAAACTGAACAGGAGAGGAGGGGGAAACTCTGATTAGATCTTCTAGAAGGTGAGGATCCACATCAGCTAGCACAATGCACTCTAGCTTCACTACACATCCACCCACTTCTCTAGGCCTATGAATTGTAATCCCAAGGTTCGGTAACATGAACATCTTAGAAAACAAAGTGACACATACATCAACTTCACTGCAGCTCTCACAGTTATAATCCTTCTTCACAATTTGATAGGCAATTCAGTATGCGCGTAAGCAGGGATGTTTCCCCTCTCAGTTGACTTGTAAGGACATAAAAAGCTGGCGTAAATAAGCAGCAAGAGAAAATAGTTCTGAGGGAAAATGTGTCAAAGTTATTCCAGTAGCCAGACCGGAGTCAAAGCAGTGCCACAGTGACAGATGGGCAAGTTAATATCATACCAGTCAGACAGGAACAGCCCCTGATATCAAGAGATGCTGAGGTGTCATTGTGACCAGAAAGGTAGGCGGTATTGGAAAAGTCATGTTTTTAACAGAGTGGATATCCAGCAGTGAGTGAGTGGGCGCTGCACTCCGACTGTCACATTCATCCAGAGAGGACGGTTAGTTTGAGGTCAGATGCACATAAGGTGTTATGATAGCAAAGTGGCGCATGCGCAGAGGGCTGGGGCTGGAGGGGAGGGGGGGGGGGTTATCAATGGGAATGTATGTAATACTACCTTTGTGGCGTATGATCTCTTGAACGCCAGTGCGTGAGGAACATAAACAGACTTGGGGAAGACAAAAAACATAAAAAAGGGAGGAAACAAACATGATACAGATGATATGATTAAATGGGTTAATGATTATGTGAAAATTGGTCAAAATAAAACAAACAAAAAAAAAAAAAGTAATTAAAAAGTAATATTTAGCAGGTATGATCAAAACAGGCAATGTTAATATCCCACACCAAAACATAAATATGACAGGGTGCAGCGACATTTTGTACATCTATGTTAATTCAAAATTAGTCAAATAAAACTAATAAAACACTAAATCACAAATGACAATGTAAGAAACGGATTTGACATGTAAAACCAAGGATTTTAGAGACCTGTCTTCCCATAAAGTGGTAAGAAAAGTCTCTATTAAATACACTTACAGAGCTGGGAAACTATAATACTATACTAGAGACTAGTCTACTCGATTCCTGTGGGCTCTCATTCAATTACACACGGCCTGGCAGGCATGATGCAGCTTTAATCTCCCGTGACTGTAGCTGAATAAAGTCCAAATTCAGACCAGTATTCATGAAGAGTAAGAAAATGTCAATTCATTCTCCACGCGTGTCGTCGGGATGAAGAAAACTAAATGGGAGCATGTGAAGAGTTTGTTTTTTGTGTGCGTTTCCATTGGTTAATGGATTCATGCCTCTGGCCCTGAACTCACTGTATCTATCTAAACCACCAGGTACACACACAAAAACTGAGCAGCAGCAGAGACAGAGATTTTGAATTTCAGCCATAAGCATAATGAATACAAATGAATTAAAATAAAAGAGCTCGTATTAGAGACAGTCCTCGCAAAAGTAATGCCTCCAGCATATTTAATGAATCCAGTCTTGAAGAATTCACTCATTTAGCAATTTTGATAACACATATGATTATGATGTACATTTAATATGTCATATTGTGGAGCTGAAAAATATGTTCTCAACCATGACTTGGGTACATGATTTGTTCTGAGGGGAAAAAAGTTGAAATATTCTTTTATTCCAATTCTTCTTAAAAAAGAATTAATGAAGTTTTATTACAAATTAATTCCAGGCCAGCTTCAACAGCCAGAGGCAAGCCATGTAGGCTATGTGAGTGTTCATATGTTTATTTGAAATTCAAAATCTTTTAACCACCACTGCACAATACCTCGTCATTGTCTTTCTCCTTTTCTCGATCAACCTCTTTTTCCCGCCCTCTTTCTTTATGCCTCTCTTTCAACCTCTTTTTCTCCTTTAACTCCCTCCTTCTCTCCTTCTCCAGTTTCTCCTCCTTTATTATGGCTTCCTTCTGCATGCCTGACACTAGGTCAAAGATGTCCATATGCCGCTGGGAGTGGAAGAAATGATTTAAATGGAAGGTGGTTTTCAGGGAAGCAAAACAGAAACAGGGGCAATGGATGTACTGAGGACACGTCGAGCCTCGCAGAAGCCCTGTCTGCAAAATGCTGTCTCACCCGCTGTTGTCTGGAAAGGCTACACAGGCATATCTGCCAGGGTTAGACGTAGGGCAGTGTAAATATGTTAATGGTGTTCTGCTTTGCACCTAACTGGATGAACACATCACCTGCTACTGCTGTTTGTGTGCGATTTTTGCTGATAAATGTGAGGTGAAGATAGTGAATTTTCAGAATCAAGCCTCACTATATCTACAACAACAAGATCAAAAAGAGTAGCTGTTCAAAAGGGTTCAGAAATTTTGAATGAGTCACAGTCTCATCTAAACTTCACCCTACAGTTTGCTGACTGGTCCGGCTTTGGGCAGCGGGTCTCCACTGATTGTCAGCAGATGTTTTATGGACTAAAATGTCTTAAATGAGCCGAGTCAACTCAAGCTGGCTGTGCGAAGCTCTACATGTCTAAATTACCTGATGGCAAAGATGTGAAATGTCTTAGTTGGGTCTATTGTTACTCACATCTGCCTTAGACTTCTGGGAGGATCTCTCCAGAACGTCGTCACAGGAGAGGTCTGAGTCCTCAGAGAAGCTCAAGTTTCTGCGTGATTTCAAGTCTGTAACGTGTAAAATAAACAAAGAAATTAACTAAATTCCCACATTCAAAAACACATTTTAAACTCTGGATTGCCTCTCTCACCTGACGATCTCCCAAGAGGCGATGTTCTTTTCCCAGAGTCCTGAGTGGTGGAGCTTGAGGACGGCGTGCTCGGACACGATTTGTCATCCTTCTTCTTTTTGTCCTTCTTGTACCCTGAGAACACAGCCTTCCATAACGACTTATGTTTGGGCGGTGTCTCGTCCGTGCCGGAGACCCTGCTGCTGTCGTTCTTGGCTTTTTTCTCCTTCTTGTTCTTGCGCGGCGAGAAGAGGGAACTTCGTTTCTTGCTCTTACTCGCAGAGGAGCCGTCGGATGAAGCCGCCGAGCTGTCCAGACTCTTGTTGCTGCTGAAGAAACGCTCCGGTATGGTCTCGGCCTTCTTCGACTCCAGGGCTTTCACGGCCGATGTCTTCGGAGATCCGACTGACTTTTTACTTTTTCCTGCGGTATCCGGGGTCACACTCCAGGCCACTTTAGGTGAGGCACCCTTGTCAACGTCAGATTCTTTCATTTTGTTCAGCTGCTTGGCCATGGCGTCCTTTAGTGCCTGGCTCTTGACAGACTTTTCTCTGGCCCTCATTCTCTCTTCAGCAATCTCCTTCGCCTCTGGAGAGAACTGAGTTGCCCTCTGTGTCTTCGAGGCCTGATTGCCTTGGATATTGGGTTTACCATTTTCCATCGCTAGAGCCAAATGCAGAGGAGGTCTTTCCCTGCTGGGCTTGCTGGTGGGTGGAGTATAATACCTGTTCATGCTCGTCTCTGGCGTCCGCTCATCATACGTCTCCTCCACGTCATCGGCAAACGGAATCTCCTCCACCGTCTCCACAAATGACTTCCTCATCTCCACCGGTCGAGGCTTCTTCTTCTCCCTCATGACGACCACTGGAGCTGCTTCTGGCTCTGCCTGCGGTGACGGGACTTTCCTGGGCGCAGGCTTGGGTGCAGACACAGGGCTCAGCTGGGTCCTTGGCGTAGGAACAGGATTCTTGGTTTTCGCTGGCTCTTTGGCACGCTCAGGTGGAGGTTTTTCTGTTCCGTTGCTCCAGGACACCTGATGTCTCTGCTGCCTGAGCACGGCTGGAGACTGATTAGCAGGCACAGGCGGTGGTGGGCTGGAGGGCGGGGTGAGCATAGTGGAGTCAGACATGTTGTAGCTGTCACTGTTTGCCGTCTGGCTCGTGGCCAGGCTCCCATTCAACCCCAGGCCAGAGCTGCTGCTGAGGTCTCTCTTATCGGAGCCATTACTCTTGGGCTCCGCAGGTGCAATGGGAGTAATGACCTGACCCTCAAGAGTGATGTTGAGTCTGCGAATGACAGCGCGGCCAGTGAAGGCAGGCTTCTGTTCCTCAGACACATCTGGAGACTGTGTCTTGACAGGAGTTGGTTCCTGTGTTGGAGCCTTAACAACACTCTTCTCTAAGATTTTGCTACTGCGATCCAAAGGAGTCAGACCAAGGCTTTTTCTTATCTCAGCACTCTTTAACCAAAACTCCTCAATGATATCTGTCTTTTTAGAGGGAGTTTCCTCTGTTGAGGAGTCTATGGACTTTGAGTGCTCCGATGTGTCCTCGTCAGCTTTGGTCATGGGCGTTGAAGTGACCGCGGGGACAGGCTGAGTTCTAACGGGAGAATCGGAGGTGAGGGGCGACGACGGTTCCTGACAAGGCAAAGGCTGGGCACAGATTGGGGAGAGCGGGTTACCCGTGAGAGGGCAAATGGAGCGGTGAGGGTAGACCGGAGATTTCGGTGCGCAAGTCTCTGGCAGGGGGGTGGGCTGGGAGCGAATTGGTGAGCTAACTGGAGATTTGACAGGGGATCTGACAGGTGACTTGATTGCGGGCTTGAGTGGAGAGGCGATGGGTGATTTGCTGGGTGAACTGGGAGGTGACGAGGCAGAGACATTGACAGGAGAAGCAGCAGCAGGAGGGGAAATAGGAGAAGAGACAGTAAAATGATCGTGTACAGGAGCAGGGGAAGGGCACGGCGGGCTCTTGGCAGCTGGAGAAGGAGTTGTCCTGTCAGGCTTCGTTTCCTCAGGTATGAACGGTTCAGGGAAAAAGCGAGTGCCGGGAGACTTCACAAGAGGTATCTGGAAAAGAAAAACAGAGACGCTCAGGATTTCAGGACTTCAAAACTACCATCACTTATCTTCAACTTTAGATTTATCTCACGTGTGTCTCAGGCCCTGGTGATGGTTTGAGAGGGGAAAGGATGACATCTTCTTTCTGCATTGGGCTGCTGCTGGATGGCTCTGAAGGAACAAACAACAAAAATGCACTGCTATTTATTCTTGTAACAAACATGTACGTGAATGAGAAATTTCAAGGAGTGATTAGTGATGTTTACCAATACTGGAGGTCATTTCCACACTCTCTGATTTCTTGTCTTCTTCAGGAAGAGCTTCAACATGCTCTGATTGGTGCAAACGAGCCTCAGCTTCTGCATCTGAAGGGATGTCATCTGGAATTTAAACATAACATTATGAAGTATTGCACTGTTATACAGCTTTATAATAATTTAATTATTTCCAGTATTTTATTGTGATGAGTTCTTTATAAACCAAAGATGTGAAAGAACTGACTGTCTTGTTATTATTTACTGGCAGCTTACCCTGATCCATCTCTGTACCAGGTTCTATATCTGGGCTGTCTGCTTCTGCTTCCAGGTCTTCATCCTCACCGGGCTCTGGCGCAACAAAGAAATGACAAGAAATAAGTCAAAAGGTTAACACATTCTGTCTTCAGTCATTCACAGAGTAGAGAACATTTTGCAACTTTCTACAACAACCTAACCTCAACTCAACTTTTTTTCAGAAATTAATGGCTGGAGATGGGAAAAAATAAAGCACAAGAATTAAAAGATTGCTTCATGAAAAAAGCAAAGTTTTGAAGAGTGGCGTGTTTAACTAAAATATTTTTTTTTCCTGCAAAAAGCTTTAAAGAAAGTGTTCTGGTAAAAAATGACATTCGTTTTGCATACAAATGTAATCATACAAGTCTGTCAATAAATATGAACAAAAGATGGGCGCAGAGTAGCATTAGTAAATACATGCAGCTATCCATTTATAAATTGGCAAAATGGATGACATTCGAACCGAGCAAAAGCACAACGGAAATGTTAATGACAATGTTACGAGAGGAGCAGCAGTCCCTCATGTAAGAGACTCAAAACTGGAACAGGAGAAACGACCCACACAGTTAATTCATGCAGTTATTTGAAATAATATCACATATCACATTAACCATCATTTGTGCTCAATGGACAAAATGGTCTATTGTTCATGTGGGTGCACAAGCACTTACTGAAAGACCATCTGATTCTAGCAGGTCTGAGCACAAGGAGATCTTTACTGAGCTTTTAACCCAGAACACAAGCACTGTCTATGAACTAAGGACTCTCATTCCATTCATTCAAGCTTTTAAACTGTTGATTAAGTGCCTCGGCAGACTCATTCTCTAAACTTTTTGCAAGTACAAGAGCCATTAAGGGGTTAGTCCAAAAAAAAAATAATAACAGCACCAGCAGATTCCAATGAAATACTGCACATATTACCCATCAGGGGAAGAAACACTGGGGTATTAAGTGTTTTCAAGCCTTGATAGCTCATCTGTCTCTGGAATACATTACATTGCAGTATAGTCTGCTATGTAAGTAAAGAGAAAATACATATTTTGGAAGTCGGAAAGGGTACGGTGAGAGGTTGGGTTGGGAAAGGTGAAATACAGGCGCTGATACGATCCCAAGAGAGAAGAACTCTCAAGAGCGACAGCCGTACAGCATGCATGCTTGTGAGGTTACTGGTCTCTGCACGTGTTTTCCGCATGCTCCGGGAAAAGGCCAGCCGATAGACAGATAAGAGTACAAGTCTAAGGCGGGATGTAACGATCCCGTTTGACGTCTGAGCTACCTCCAGACATGGACTCCAACCAGACTCTCACTGCCTCGTGTCGGGCGGATGTGTGGGCAGGTGCTACGTTCAAACCAGAAGATACAGAACGACGAGGGATAGATGGCAGGGAAATAACAGTAAAGTAATTAGACACATGGGAAAGGACATAGCAGAACACAAAAGAACAAAGCAGAACAAAATCAAAAAGGAATTGACAAGGGGGTTATGTGAACTTAACGTTCACCCCAGCGGACCAACAGCAACTCTGAATGACAAATTAAAAGACTGAACACAAAATTAGACATTCCACGAAAAAAAGCAACGTGACAAAAATGTACAAAATCAGAGATGATTATAAACAACAGGTGGGTTAGTTGGGTGAGGTGGCTCTTCCTGTCGCAGACACAGACATGAAGACAGAACAGCAGCAGCCGCACTGATGAAAGGAGACCCTGATTCTTAACATTGTGAGGCCCGCAGTCTTCCCAGGTGCTCAGCTCCTCTGGGTGGGTTACCTGTGGAGGAGGGCTGCGTGAGCTCAGAGGGTTGGGAGAGTTGGGAGGCCGAGGCCGTCAGGCCGTCCTTGTCTCCGTCAGAGTCCAGGTGTGTTCTCACCAAACCTGGAATGGCCTGGGGATCCACAGGCTGAAGGGCTTGTTGGATCTGTAGGTTCCTGGCTAAATGAGGGAGTCAGCGTGTGATGCAGTGTTGTGTTTTTTGGGTTGTGGTGAAGTTTTGTGAATCATGAAAAAGGAGATGAGGGCAGTTGTGCAAAGATAGTAGAAAAAGACAGGGGGGGAAGAAGAAGAAGAAAAACAAAAAACAGAGAGAAGGGAAAAGACAAATATGAGGGAGAGGCAGAGAGACAGTTAGAATACAGTGGCAATGAAAAAATCATCAAAGGCGAGGAAGAGGGAGGCTGCATGCACTAGACTGCAAAAAAGTCAAACCATAATAGTGAGCTTCAAATATATAAAGTAAGAAAGAAATAATTTGTGGAACACAACAATTCTACCACTTAATACCAAACCATAACTGCAGCACCTAGGTGGAAAACACAAACATCTCTGGCATTTATCAGATTAGTATTTGAAAGCCATGTACAAAAACAGAGGTAATAAATAAATAGCAGGTTAAAGTGGGACTCACAGTAAAAAGAAACACACTTTCCTTTGAAACACAACTGCAACCAACAAACCAAAACAATAAAACACAAACAAAGAAAGGAAAGCCACACTCTTATTGTAGAAATCCTTGAAAATGAAACCCAAACCAGCCAGGATTAAACATCACGCTCAAAGTAACTGCAAACACATCCACAGGCACTTCTGCTGCTACCTTTAAATGTACCAACATCCTCTTCATCTGTGAGGTACTTGTCCAGCCAAAGGCCTGACTGGAGCTCTCTATCCCAGGGGCAGTAATCCCCCTCTGCCAGCAGGGGGAGACAGAGGCCATCCCCCCCAAAAGAAACATACACAAATATATGCACGCACACACAAACACAGTGGACAAAGGGGGGAAGTAATGATGAAGAGGGGGGTGGAAAAGGAGGAAAGAAGCAGAGGATGAGGAGAACAACGGTTGAGAGAGTGACAGTACACATGAAACAGACTTCGATAAAAAGCAAAGGCAACTAAGAAGGACAATTGGACACTGGACAGGGGTGTAAACATACAAAAAAGGAAACAAACTACATTTGTAGTCTTTCAAGATCACACCAAGAGTGGAAAAATAAATTTACCATCGCTTGACTCCTCATCATCTTCGTCCTCATCTTCATCCTCCTCCTCCTCCTCCTCCTCTTCCTCTTCTTCATCTACTTCACCGTCTCTGCTGACTGCGTCGCCCTGAGGTTCGCCCTCGCCTTCGCCCTCACCCTCGTCTCCGAGGTCACCTCTCAGTTTGGCGTGGAGCTCTACCGCCTCCTTCCAGGGAACACCGCCAAGGTCCGAGGGACTGGGAAGCTGCTGCTGCTGCTCCGCCTCCGCCTCCACCTCCACCTCCTCCTGATCCTGATCCTCCTGCTCATCCTCCTCCTCCATGTCTGACTCTGAGCTACTGTTGGAGAACAGGGGAGGCCAAAACATCAGCTTCCTCCTACAGTATTTCACAATGACTCTAATGTTCCATTTTCTACAGGAAGGAACAAATTTGTATTTTCTATATGTTCTTCTGAAATGTATTTACATTGGGTGTTAAGGAGTCAACAGAAATATGTATGCACTAGTTTTCCAAGTAACATTTATTTTGATAAGTTATTAATTGTTTATTTTTTCAATTGATTTATTGTTAGGTTTTCGATTCATTGTCGGGTCGAAATTTGTGAAAAAAGGCAAAAGTGGCGTCTTCAAATTACTTCTTTTTTCCGATAAGCCCAGAGATATGCCAATTACACCGATAGAAAACAGAGAAAGGCTGCATATCCTTCACCTTCAGAGGCGGTGAATAGAGAATCGTTGACATTTTTAATCGTTAAATGACCTAATCGATTAATGGATTACCAAAATTTGCAATAATCGAAGAAGAGTGTTTGGTGTGTTTGATAAGATATGAGTGAGACTCTGTACTGAAATTCATACAGGGTAAGAATGAATGTTGAGTCCAATGTAAAACACCATGCTGTGTATTCTGTTTCCTTTCCTTTTTTCACTCAAAAGGTACTGTAATATGGATATATAATTTAGTTATTTTTAAAGAAACACTACCTTGCACTTAATTTAATTGTGACTACAGCTACTGTTGTTATGTATGATGTGCTTTTTGTAAGTTTGCATTAAGGCTATAGATATAAAAAATATACAAAATAATAAACTTTTTTTTTTTTAAAGTGCAATAATCAAAAACTGTGTATCTTGTTGTTATGCTCCTACCTGGAGCCCAAGTCAGCATCCGTAGCCTTGTCCAGCACACTGCTAAGGTTGTGTTCCGCCAGCGTCTCCTCAGGCACCTCCTCCAGCTCCTCCTCCCTCTGCAGGGACACACGATAGTTCTCCAGCTCGATGCGCTCTGGAGTTCCCCGCAGTCGTTTAGCGAGGCTCGGCTCCTGTAGTCCATTGACCTCTGGTGCTGAGACCCCAGGTGAGATGGAGGCATCAGGGCGGGCAGCAGGTTGGAGGTAAGAAGGAAAGGAAAGAGAGCACAAAACACAACTGAGAATCAGTTAGGTGCAACAGTCTACAGGAGAGGAGCAGCGTGGGTGGCATGCAGGACTGACTGATGATTAAGCTTCTAACTGTATTTTTCTATGTAGAAAATAAACTAGACTAAAGCAAATCCACTGTGTAACTATTTGTGAAAAACTACTGTGATTAAAGACACAAATTCTGACTAAAGTTTTGTGTGAGAAAATCAGTTTAGTAGCATCAAATCCATCACACATCCAACAATGAAACTGGTGCATTTCCACACAATTTTACTGTATAATTATTTATTCCCATTTACTAAAGCAACTCTGTATTTTTAGGACAAACCGACAACAACACACCGATTTAAGATCTAGAACTGAATTTATTGTGTTATATTATATTCCTACAGCAGATATTATCAACAAACACAAATAAGTTTAACACTCTAAAATATTTCTTTTATTCTACAGTTATAGGTACAAGGTTGGTGCCTTGCCTTTTTCCCATCCTGAGAAGCAAATCTTAAAACTGTATTTCCAAAGAGGGTATTTGGTGAATGTGAGTGGAATGGTTAAAAAGCAAGTGTTTTACACATTACACTACACTTGTTGTCTCTCCACTCACTTAATCAGAGATACAGTTGCCCTCCAATTACAACTGCTGTAAGCAATGACCCCAATGTAAATCCCACTAAAAAGGATAGGTGTGAAAGTGAATGTGTGATATTTGATACTGTAGCATTGTATATGTTTATTTTATGTGGTCAGACAGCTGCAATGGTTTCAAGCATGAAAATGCAACACAGCTGTGAAGAAAATTACAGTTAAAATTTTATGCTTAACCTTTCCATAATTATTAAAGGGCTAAAGCGACCCCATGACACTGACAAATTCTGTTTTTGAAAATCTATTTATATGTATTTTCAATATTTTCAATAATGATAATCATGAATTATAGCGAGGGATTTACTAAAATATTAAGACTAGTGATGAAAAAATACATTATAATTTAAGTGAATAATACAGATATAATCCGAAAATGATTTTTGAGTTACTTGAAGAACATCAGTTTTACTTTGACTTCCTATTACTGTGTACTCTAGAGCGATGGACCTCATTTAAATAATATGATTTGATTTTTCCGATTAATCTTAATCAGAAGCTAATCTTCTGGTGTCCATGTTGCCTATGTTTAGTAATGAAAGCAATTCTTTAATGTTGTTATTATCTCACATTAATGTTACATTATGTTTATAGTATTATTACAGTACTTATGAGTAACTATTTCAATTTATAATACTACACTTGCCACACAATGCAGCAGGCTCTATGATTATATTCACCTATAATATGCAAAGCAATAAATGCAGCAGAGATGCACTATACTGAGCAAAACACAAGTAGGTCTTAGCAGCAAACTGTCAGGGGTGATGGGCTGAGGGATGCAGGAGGACAAGGCAGATGAGAAAGTGTGACAGAGGAGTGAAAAATCACAAGAGAACCAATCACAGGCACTAATTCAAGCTCTCAGTTTTAAACTGCTCTGATAGGAGGGGGAAAGGTAAAGCTCACAAAAGCACTGATACAGGCACTTCATCACAGTATGGTGAGTTTCAGTAAGAGGGATACAGTAGGTGCAAAACAGCTTACAAAGAGAAAGAAACACATCACAAAGCAGGCTCTAAAAGAAACACATCACACAGGAGGAGGTAGAGGTAAAAGAGAGCAGTCACAGGCCACTAGAGGTTACAGTCACAGAAGAGTAAAGCTTGGCTCTTCATTAAAACACAGGCAAGCAAAAATCAGGTTTAGGTAAACAATTAACTTAGGGATATGTTAATGTATTTCTAAATGCCAAATTTTGACTGATATTTTGAGTAAAGAAAGTTGCCACATCGTTGCTTCACTGAGCACAATAAAATCAGGATGAGAAGCGGAACAAGAGAGTTATACAAAGGGTTAATATTGCTGCCTGGAGAGCTGACCAGAAGGGACTCTGTCCAGCTCTTTTTAATTTCCAAGCCAAGAAAAACAAATATATAAATTTAAGATGCACCATTCACTTCTAAAATTAAGTTAGCAGGTTAACTGCTTCCGGCCAATCACAAGTCATGAACTGGCTGCTAACATGGACAGAGAGAATGCTGCATCTTCAAAAAATAAATCAATCACTGAGACAAAGACTAAGAAAATTCACATGAACACTCAGTGAACGCTCAGTGAGTCAATACAGTCAGCTAAATCTGTACAGTCCAACTGACATTAGCTGGCAAAGAGTAAAAGAAAGTAAGGAAGGAGGGACAAGAGAAGTCATGCTAGAGAAGGTTGAGCAGGACATTGATGGTGAAACAGCAGAAGAGGTAGATGCAGTAGGTACACAGGAAGGGAGAATCTAGGGGGTTGTGTGCCACCTGGTGGCAGGTCCAGGAGAGCGTGCGGCGGAGGGTACGCAGCGGAACTCCCACGCCCATGGCCAGACGGCAGGGCGCAACTGCCACAGCAAGAGAGGAAAGTGGGGTACCTGAGGGCTGGAGTTCGGCCGAGGGCGCTGCCGCTGCCATCGCCCTTCCGGGAGCATCTACGGTCGACGTGGGAGTTTGGGGCGCCTGGTTCTCCTGCAAAGGTAGAGAGACAGATGACGTCAACTCCAGAAAAGTGTCAAATGTTCTTATCTAGGTACAAAATAAAGGATAAAAGGGTTCCTAATCAATATGCAACTCTGCTTCCTATATGATGGCTCATGTTCTCCTATATATCCAAGCACTGCATTTTGAAGATAAACCAAACAATTCATTTCTTAATTAACTGCCAGCTATATCTGATTTTCCACCAGGATTTCATCGTGTAAATAAAAACAGGTACCTTGGCTGTGATTGGAGCAGGGGAGGGAGCAGGCCTCTTTCTCTGAGCATAGCCAGACAGACGGTAACAGTAGTGAGGCTTGCAGTAAAATTTCCCTGCAGGATAAAAGAGACAGACAGACAACATAAGTAGACATTCTGAATGCATAAAAAAACATATATGGTGCATAATCTGCAAATTTCACCTCATAAACTCCATACGCTGTTATCTGTTCTGTAGAAGCGGTCTGTCTGTTTGTCATTTAGAATTTAAAAAATGTCTTTTTTGTCTCATGTTAGACCAGCAGTGGGGTTTTAGTCCCACGACCAACTCTGAAAAACAGCTATTCTCAGTCTCATTGAACAAAGTGTTGCCTGTCCTTGAGCACAATAGACACCTCCCAGAGAGGGAAAATATGGAATCATGGGACTCAGTGCTGCTGTCAGTGTACTAATATAATGTAAGGTCATGTCACATCTTGAAAAGTGAGTTTAACAAACTTAAAGCTGGACAGTGTTGACATTTTGTTGGTTTCGTTGGTTATAGAAAATTATTCTAATGGCATAATTTTTTTTAGGCAAGCCTAGTGAAATTTTGTGCAGTTCATATGCTGCTTTCAGTCCATTCATTTCAAGTATTTTTTGGGTTGGATGCATGGGTGGAATGGGAGGTTGTGGTACACATCTTGACCATGTCTGTTTAGATACTACCACTGGGGGGCGCCAAAATTGCACATTTTGAGAGGTTTTAAAATGCACGGGCTGATGTGATACTTTCCAAATTGCATTTGTCCTGTATTCAAAGTCTTTTGGTTGATGTTGTGATCATTAAGCCAAAGATAATTTCAATTTATTTTCTGCACATTTGATGTATAAAAACTGTGACAGACGGCATATAGATGGAAAAATCAAAGGAGTTATCTCCTTACCATCCTCCACATCAAAGGCGTACGAGGACAGTCGTAGTGTGGTGCCACAGTAGTCGCACTTGAAGCAGCTGCGATGGAAGAACTTCCCCTCTGCACTCAGCCTCTCCATCACGTACACACGCTTTCGACAGAAGAAGCAAACGTCGCTGCCTCCGATGTTGACAGGGAACTCTTTTCTGAGAGAGCCCTGTAGAAAAATAAAGCATTTAATCAGTTTTTAGAGGAAAAGGGGGAAAAATACGGGAATGGAGAGGAGAGGCTTAAGTTCATCAAAGATTTAGTAAACATTATCAAGGCACAATCTCACCACTGTCAAAGTATGCTGGGTATTTATTCAGCTATTTTATAATCTAATAACCACATCACAGCAAGTCATCATTAGGAACAAGAAGGTACAGTAAAAAAAAAAGAAAAAAGAAAATCATCGTTCATAACTGTACAAAGTATCTACAAACACAAGGGTAACCCAAACTTCTGTTATTTGTCAAGCAAACACATTCTACAGGCAAAGGGAGGTGGATCAAGGTTCAACTGGGACAGAAAACTAAGACATCAGTGTATCAACCACATGTCACTGAACAAAACAACACTGCGAGGCTTTGACTTGTGCAGAGAGTGTGCCTCTTCTACCACCTGGAACAGAGTGCTTACCAAATCCCTCTTTTCAGGTAAGGGCTTGGTGTCTTCCTGAGATTGGAGCTGATTGGCTATCTGCTCAGCCAATGAGCTAACTCCCCCTGTGTACATCCTTACATAGCGCTATTAACAGCATTATGAAGAAATAAAAAAATAGAAAAAAAGACAGGTGGAGAAACATTAGAAAATGATGGAGGAAAAAGAAAGAACATGAAAAACAGATGGACGAGGAGTGTGTGGGGAGATCATTCAGCACAGCAACAAGTGTTTCAACACAGGAGGTGTTTACAGACAACAGTGTCTGACAGGTCATTTAGACATGACAAAGCAATGTTTCCATGCTTAAGTGATCAAGGGTTTAGATGTACTGGACGCCCCACCAAACTAGTTACAAACCAAACATACTCTAGCTCATAAAAACAACTCCAACTCTGATATAATAACTTCTGCCCTCAGTCAAACAAGTTATTCCATACGGTCTGTGGTGCATTTATTTGCCAACAAAGGGCACTATTGGATTTGTTACATCAGAAAATAAGTATATTGTATTTCGAAAGACAAGAGCTGCTAATACTCATGTTTACACACAAGCAGTCATGCATTTTTCATTCACATGCACACGGACACAGAGTCACTCACACTGTACTGTTGTACTGAATAATAAATATGAACAAAACAAAATGCTGGAAAGCACCATAATAAATGGTAAATGGTTTATTATTATCTGAATTGAGAGAACATTCAACATATAAAACGGTTTTTAGTTTAAATCCTGAATTTTTCTATACCACGATTAGGCTTCAACTAATCAAAACTCCAAAATAAGCTTTCTGATCCTCAATAAGAGAAGAATCGAGGTCACATGTGGTATGAGCAAACTTAAGCCATGAAATATTTGAAATGAGATTTGGGCGTGCTGTGCTGTGCTGCAGTCCCACTGCTAAGTTGTTACTCTGCCACAGTTGGAACTGTGCTTGTCAACATGGGAGTTACGCTAGATTAGATTTTTACTGCCAAGCCGCTCTTCCTATCCAAAGCAACTACTAGGGACTCCCTTTGCAACATAACTTTCGGAATTATAATTGAGTTCAAGCACGCACCAGATCAGAATATATTGATATTAGATAGTGTCATAGTCACAGGGACTGATTACTCACCAACATATTTAATTTATCACAACAATCACAGTAAACGGTTAACAGGTTGCAAGTGGGGGGTGTTCAGATAACAAGCAGCCAACTTTTAAAACAGGTCTTAGGCGAGCTTAAGCCGTGTTGAGCAATTTTTAGAACTAAGTGACACGATGCGTCTTCCTGAAAGACAAAGTGCAGGTGTAGCGTGTTAGTGTCACCACACTCCATTCCTTCCAGGCGTGAGGTGACTACCTGTCTCAAGGTGTCAGAGGAGGAAGGGGGAGAATCAGGGGGACCCTGGGCTCGGGCCACGTGCCATTGTTCCATAAAAAGACGAGAGGGTTTTTTCTTAGGCTCCACGAAAGAGGGGGAGAGGAGAGTATTAAGGCGAATGAATAAATGTTCGGTTAACAATAAAAGAACATAATATAAACATCCACCAGTAGATAATAGCAGGTTTTTTTTGTTTCTTTCTCTTTTAACACAGTTTCACACCATTTGTTTTCTCCTTTATACCATTTTCTAAAATAAATTATTAGACAGTTGTTAGGAGAGTAGCCTGTTGGTCACCTTCATTCCCTCTGGAGTAAATTGTTTAGTAGGCTAACACTGCTTTTTTAGTCAGTGTAACCTCTTTTTTTGTTTCTCTGTTTAAACATAGTATTAGTGTATCTACACCTGTGCAAATGGCAAATATAGTTGCTTGAGTTCGACTCAAACAATTAAATTAGTCATGTGTTTTCAATGAGCTGTAGTGCTCTATGCTAACATGTTAGCATACACTGCTGACTGACAGAATGCTACTGACACCGCTTTTTCTCATTTTTACTCAGCGTAACCTCTATGCTCTTTATGGTTCATCTTTTTAAATTTTCTTTATTAATAATATTCCTATCTGTGTATCTGTGCTAAAGCAAATAAACTCACCTGTATGAACCTCAAACATGTGTTTTCCAGATGTATTCCTATTTCATCTTCTATTTTAACATGTTAGGTGAAATTGCTGAGTAAGGGGCAGCAAGCAATACTGAGATAAAACATTCTTATGTTTTTTAGTTTGTGTTGTTTTTAAATTGCACTTTTATGTAGTTTAAAGGTGAAATCTCATTAATCCTTCACTCAACAGTTTATATTTACATCTCTTTAGGATGAAACTTCAGTCCTATCTGCAGTCAAGGTTAGCCACGCAAGTGGTTGTAAGGTTTTTGTGTGAAATTCTATTCATCTCCTTCACAAAATGTCAATAAATCTACAAATTCATTCATTTACCATTTAGTTTTACAGCTAATGTGAGTTCTTATGTACATGCTGCCCACCTGCAATTACTAGTTTAACCTGATAGTAACAGTGCCAACAACCTTCTGGAGATCCATGGATGATTTTGCTGTCTACTCCTAAAATAAGAAGTTGACCAACAGGATGAGTCTCTCAAAAACTTGCATTCATGTATAAATATTAGACTGATAATCAGCTGTCTTCAGCTGTCTGTATTAATGGGGAAATTTCACCTGTGGTGCGACTGGCCTCAAACTGCCCTCAAACTGAGAGGCAAGTTGCTCAGCCCTCTCCTGAATACTAAGCACATATAAGGGCATTTGGTCATCAGAATTCAGAGGCCTTGCTGACTCCTGCAGAGAAAAAGATGATTCAATAACCAAAGGGATGTTTGAGGAAAATGTAACCTTTTAGTGGTTTCCAAAAACAATCTCCCATTGAAAAACAGCTTGTCATTGTGGTAAAGACCATAGATGGTCTTTAGCCATTGTTTTCATAGTTCCAGCTGACAGTCTTTAATTTATGTAGTAATGTCAGCCTGAGTGGGTAAACTATGAAAGCAATGCCCTGCAGTTAGTAGAGATATCTAACAGAAATACCTTGCAAAACAACAGACTACACTTGAGATAAACAAATTGAACTGAACAAGCTCAAGTGAGTCTAAAACTAAAACTTTCATAGGAGGTTATTTCTCAGTACGACAGAGCGTGATGTGTTCAGAGTGTTAGTACACAGCACCAGAAACCTAACCTTTCTGGAAGAGTCAGGAGAGGATAGTGGTGAACCAGGACTCTCAGTTAGGCCTCGGGACAAGTACCACTGCTCTATAAAGAAACGGGACGGCTTTTTCTTAGGCTCCGCGGAGAAAAGAGGAATGGTTGAAAGAGGGCATTAGACTTGAGAGAAAGTGCAAAAGTACACCAATAGCAGGTAAAAAAAATACTCAACACTGATAACCATGTTCGTACAAAAACAACCATGCACGGTGTTCACCTTTGGTTTTGGCTTGTCAGGTTTGCCCTTAAACTTTGATATCAGGCGGTCAACCCGTTCCTGTATACCAGGTATGTGAATGGGTCCTGGGTCTGTCAGGTGCAGCGGCTCCCATTCCTGCCAAGGAAGCCCTATTGAGACTTGATGCTGCGTGGGTGTATCTAATGGCTGAATGCTTTTAATAGCATGATGTTATATAAAAGGAAAATAATGGTTTGTTCCATATAGATGTCTGTTTACAGCAGCTCCAACCATTATCTCATCAAAAAACTCCAACCACAAACAAGCAGTGACAAACATGAATACATGTCCATGCAATCACTCATTTACTCTACCCCGTATTTCAGAGGCCTTTCGTAGTATTCAAGTTCCTCTTCGTCCGGAGTTTTACGTAAAGGCTTGAAGGCAGAAATGGGCAGACACATATTCTGTATTAACACTTTGGTTTTCATCAAGAGTAAATAGACTATTACAAAAAGGAGTTGTTGAATGTCTCTTAGGAGAGCAGCTTGTTAGTATCTCTTATAGTGCCTGACAATAAGTTTAAACTCGCCAAAGTCTCCGGAGTCTGAATTTATTTACAAGCCATCGCATCCCAACAACATACCCTTCAGCATGAAAGACAAGCTTCTCTTCTGATAATGACACGCACTACCCACTCACAGGGAAGAAAACAAGACTGTGACCTCTCTAGCAAGTTCACTTGGGGAATTGCAGCATTTTGTTTTCGTTTAAACTACACACTGCAGAGGTCAAGCCTGAGGGTCCAGCAGACATAATTAGGAAGACTGGTTGTGGATGTAAACACGGGGACTAAGGGAGTAAGGGGGCACTCGATGAGTTTGCCATGGATTTGTGGCAGAGATAGACAGACACAAACAGACAGATACAGCAGACTGTGTGTCACCTCTGAGTGAAGAGAGAGCGAGGAAGTGGAGGAGGAAGAAGGGAGCAGAATGGTTTTCTTTGGGCAGCTCCGAGAGCCCGAGCTGGACAGTTGGTCTGCACCACTTCTGGCCTTGAGAGATGAACAGGGACAGCAGATTGAGCAGAAGATGATGAGGATGAGGATGAAAATGACGAGCTAGTGCTAAGATCAATGATTATTTTCTTTCCCTTTGTCATTCAAAGTTGAATAATAGATTTTAATGCTTTCAAAAACTGAGAATAAATTATAATCAAAAATATTTGTGTATACTCTCCACACCAAATTAGTAATACATTTGGTTAATAGAATTAGTGTAGTGTTCTACTTCACTTGGTTAGACTCATTTACAAAACAGTAGAAGCACCGTTAAAACACATCCCACATTTCCATACACAAATCCTGAAAAAAGGCCATCCACAATGTGTATAGAGCACAATAAAACACTTTAAAAAATATAGTCAGGGAGACAAAAGGGAAAATAATTCACCGGTGCTGTAATTATCTATGATATAAAGGTGATGTATGGAAACTTACATTACAATATTACAGGAGTTTTTTTTAAGTTGGCTTTGAAAACTCAATCACTTAAACTCAAACACTTTGTGTAGAGAGGAGCTTAGGATTATCACAATTATTTCCAGCCTTTACAGCTAACTTTCAGCTAATTTACTCAGCAGCGAGGGGCTTAATGTGCAGTGAGAGGACATTTAAGAAGAGCAGCGAATTAAATCCCTTTAAGACAGCAGAGTTGGAGGCTTTAAATCAGTGTCTGTGATGTGAATGCTTAATCAAGTAGTGACAAGACAAAAAAAAAAAAAAAACTAACTTAGCATCAGCATGAGAAAACTGGTTCTGGCACTTAACTGTGCTGACTCTGTTATTCATAAGGGAAAACAGTAAAGCAGGGGGGGCAACAAGGCAGAACAGTCGGCTACAGCTTGTCCTCTACTGAGGCTGCAGGAGTGAATGTAGCACTGGATCTTATTTCGTTGTTAGCAGCATGTCTGTGCACCTATGGGCGGGATTGCTGCAGAAGTAGCAACCTTAACTGTATCTGCGTCCGTAGGGAGGGCTGAAACACTTGTAGCAGGGAACCTTTAACGGGAGCTCACCAGCCATAAAAAGTGGTGGACAAATGCAACAAGAAAGAGGAGGACGGTAGACATCATAGGGGAAGACTACACATTCTATTATCAGGTGTTGTTGTTATTCTATGTTCAGTGTCTTGAAAACACATACCAAACATTGAAATTTGTTCTACATAGCAGAAATATTAAATGTACCCTGCAGAGTACTTGTAGCACTAGGGAACATATTTGCATTCAACACATTTGTTAGGTCTTAAGACTACACATAACCAGTTAGTAGTTAGTAGTAGTTATTAGTAGTAGTAATTAGTAAATGTCATTTAGTGTTTTGAATATATTGGCCTGTCAGCTTTTTATGACCATGCATTGTTAATTTTACTGTTGTATTTTGGACATGAACCCCTCCTACAATGGTCTTTACCTACAAATATGAATCAGTTTACTAATGTCCTATTTCTATTTTCTCCATAAAATTCAGAAAACACTGCAAAATTTCTCAGAAACTACCCAGAAAAATCAATATCAGAGGCAAGACATATGCCATGCAGTGGCAGAATCATGTTTCATCTTGTATTTGTAACACCTACTTTGAACAGCTGTTGACAAGAGTTTGGAGTCATGAAATAAAATAAACACTCCTCATACTTTGTTGTTTGATCTGCCTGGGGCCGGATTTGTTCTGAGTGGATGTTTTCCAGCGTCTGATATTGTAAAATGATTCTCACAAGATGTTCCCTGGCTGCTTGGTGAGGCTATCTCCCCTCCCCCTTGCTTCTGGATTGGAACACCAATCCATTTTCATCTGTAGGAGGGTGAACCTGGATTGAATGGGGATGTGAAAGGAGTTGGGAGGACTACCAGGCCAGCGTACCTGCTCCCGTCTGTTGGGCAGTGTCTGATACTTGATCATTTCTTTGTAGCGAAAGCTCAGCTGCTCCTGCTGCTGTGTGCGTCTCTGAACCAGGACAGGAGAAGCAAGGAGGAGAGAGACCATGACGGCGGTGCATTCGTGTGTCTCTCTCTCAGACACAAACACACAAAGCTGCACAGCTATTTGATCGAGAAGTTAAAACACTCACACGGTTTTGTTAACCACGCAACACATTTCCAAGCATCCAGACTAGCGAGTTAATTCCACCAAATCTGACACTACAGATTCTGTCCTCAGAGGAGACTAGAACTGATCAACATAAAGCAGCTTTCCCCACTATGACACACCACAGGGACATATGGTTAGATGAGTCAGTCTAGTGGTTAGTCTCTAAGGGGATAACGGTGGCACGGCTCCACTCTTTACCTTTCTCCATGCTGGGACAGGTGCCAGGCGCACTGGCTCATTCACAGGGGTTTGGGGCGGGGAAGGGGGCAAAAGGCGATCCAGATTGGGCAGAGATTCCCCCTTTGCGGCCAAGGAAAGATGATGTGACAGCGAGCGCGGCCAGTAAGGGGGCCAGAATAACCATGCAAGGCATCATGAAATGGTCCATGATGGGAGATGGAGACAAGGAGAGAGAAAAACGGAAAAAAAAAAGGAAGTGAATCAGGCGCACAGTGGTTGGAAAAAAACTAAAGAAATGACAGTCATAAGAAGATCATGCTGGGAGAAGTTTATAATAGCACTTCACAGTAAAAGTCATGCAAAATACACATGAATAATGAATGGAAAAGGGTGAAATACACATGTCTTCAGCCAAGTAACTGCTACACCATTTAGCCCAGAAACCTTCAAATTACACGCTATTACATTTTGGACAAACATAATCCTATCAGCTATTTTCACATACATCTGATGGCAAAAGCAATAAACAAACATAAACCTCTATAATAAAAAAAAAAAATCTTATCAGAAGCAGCTATTTCAAGTCACACAGTAACAAGACGTTTTCTCAGTCTGCAACAGTTGAGATCCGTCTTTCTCTCAATCCACAATACTGCCCAGTGTTCCCGCAGCCCACATCTCCCTCCCACTCTGCTCTGTTGGTCCTCAGTAGCAAGAAAACCAGTGCTTGGCAAACCAATTTGCCTGAGACCTCCAAGCCCAGTCAGCACTATGAGGCCGCCTACATGACCCAGGAACAATACCCAGCCTGACCAATATTAGCATTCTGGATCTGTGCTCATTAATACAGTGGGCCTGCAGCTCGTCCATCATGAGACCGGAGACGCTGTCATACGAATGAACGATATGAAATCTACATGCTCGTCAAAAATACTCATTGTGAGGAAAAACAAACCACAATAAGTGTGCAAAAAAAAAAAAGAAGAAAAAAAGGCAATCTCAACTCCTACACAGTCTGAACATCTTTCCCCCTGTTGCCTAATCTTCCCCAAGTGGAAAACTCTTTCCACCACCCCCACAACGAAATGAACCATGTGACTTCCGGCATACCTGTCTTTTGAGTCCTGTAGGCTGGGCGGGGGCGTTCTCCTCAAACTTGGCGAGTAGCTGGGTGGCCATGACCTTGACTTTGTTGTGGTTCCCTGCAGCAGCACAGTCCATTTTTCTCTCAGAGAGGACAGCAGGGACAGACGGCCTGTCGTCACGACCGGTCCTGGATACTTCCTCCTGCGGGAAAACAGGGTTGTTTTTTTTTTTTGGTGCCTGCTGCCGCCAGTCTAGTGGGATTAATTAGTCTGTTCTGGTCGGATAGACTGATCAAACAGTAATCACAAGCTCTACATCCGAGACGCTGTGCTGTCAGTTCTACTCACATCTTCAGACTGGCTGGTTTTCCTTCTCTTCCCCAAACCGTCTACATCCTTCTCTTTTTTGTCCTGCTGATGACATGTCATACGTTATTTTAACTTCAGGCAAAACAATGAAAATTTGTTTTAAGAAATCATGGGGTGCTAACAGGCATTTCACTGACCTTCGGATTTCGTTTCCTGGATATTGCTATGCTCTGGCCAAGTTTGCTAAGGAATGAGATGGGGGACTTGGTGCTGGCAATCAGTGCAGCCTTCTCCTCAGGACTCAGGTTGTGGTTATCTGAACAGAAACCCACAAAGAAAATCATAGGTTATGAGCAAGAAAAAAGCACTCTAAAATCCTCTCGGGATTACAGGTAATTATGTTTTCACTGCATCCGTCCAAAGATGACATTTCTGTAATTACAGACACCTCCCAAAACCAGATTGCAGAACAAGGAGTCCTAGTGCATCACCCACTCTCACCTCCAGGCGGCACTGTGTCCTTAAACATCTCATAGAACTGGCTGAGATACATGACCATAGAGAGTTTGTCTGGCTCCACCACAGAAGACATCTCCTTGCCAGTCATGCAGGGCGAAATGCCAAATTCCTTCTCCGCCACGTCAAAACCCAACTGGTTGTTCTTCTCCTGGTCTCGCTCGTCCAGCGAGTCGAAGTCACTGAGGGCAAGAGGAAGGAGGGAGCAGGAGAGAGAAGAATCAAAAGACAATGTTGGAACGGGATGGGACATGAAATGTCAAAGATAAGGGACAAACACACAAATCCCATCATATAACAATGAGCATTCATCTCGTCATCTTAATCTATATTGATCCATTAACTGTAACATGAATATGCCACACATTTACACACAGGCTAATTTAGCAGATTTTAAACATCAATGGATGGATAATGGTGAGCCTGCATTACCAAAACTAATGAAGAAGCATTTCTATACCGCAGACTACTGTGCATGTTGTGGAAAGCTTTACTGTAAATGTCATTATACTGCAGCTGAAAATACCATTAACGTCGCTCATCAATACATTTCAACTGCACATACAGCCCATTTAAAAGCATTAGCAGTGGAACATCACATCAGGCACAGAGTCAGACCCTCCACTCAATCCTCCAAAGCATCCGTCTTGTACATGCGTAGACGTGAACGCGGTTTTCCCCAAGGCACCTTCCACTCATCAGTCTCTGTCCCCTCCTCCTCCCATCATCTGGCCTATCAAAGGCAGCGGAGCACAACCGCTACACCTCTTGGTAAAGGTCAGGCAGGACACAGACGCTAATAGCTTATAATGTTAATTGCCACGTTGCCTCCAGTCGGTAACAAACTACATTAGGCAATGCGGATGGAGACTGTGTTGTTTATGGAGTGCATGCGGGTAAGAAGTGTTTGTGTGCGTGTGTGTGTGGTAGGAGGAGGGCGCGGGGGGGTGGGGTTATGAGGAAGGCTCTGTTAAGTGACCCAAGAGGCCATTATGAGTGGTAGATGCCACCTCATTTACAGTGATATACTCTCCAAAACCAAGGTCCCAACCAGACAATAAACATCATTAGCAACTCAACAAACTCACATAAACACAGCAGGCCAGTCATTCCGGACGCCGCAGCGCTTTTAACCCTTTCACTCTTGGGATACACTCGGCAGAGTTTGCAACGGTCCAAAAATAGCAAAACTAATTTACCATCTGTATTAATCGGTGCTCCAAGTTGTGTAGGTTCTGCATGTATTTCTTTCAGAATACTCACATGAGATCCGGTCTGTATCGGTGAATGAGGGCGCACAGGGCCAGACCGCTCTTCCAAGACATAGTAAGGTCTGTTACATTAACATTCCTGTAGCCCTCCGTTTGTCTCTGGCACCAGTTGAGCAGTTTACTAGATCGAGCTACGGACTCTGGTGTGGCAGAAAAGAGAAAATGAAAGGCTTGATGTTAAAGCATCAGCTTGAACAGAATCTGGATTAAAGAAGGCAAGAAATGGCAAACTGTTTCTGGAAAGCACTACACATCTCTTGCTGGGCAATCTCATGGCCTTGGTCCGGCAAGGCTGAGCGTAGGATTATAACGTTTTTTTAGCATCCATGGCCTCATCATCCTTGTTAGTACCAGTTTCAACCAGTCAGTGCGAAAGTATTATGAACCGTGAGATGTAAAACATTTTTCTGATGTAAAGGAGTAAAAAGGATGCAAATGAGAGGTTAGGAGAGGATGCAGAATTCACAGGTAACCTTTAAACAGCTAGAATGGACATTAAGTGTTGAATATAACCAGGGAGAGCATCAATAACCGAGTTAGTGCACGCAAAGGAAATTTTTAAAGGCTGCAATCAGTCCATCCACAAAGTTCCATCATTCCAGGAATCATTTCATATTACTCATTCATGAATACATAGCAGGTAAACTTCAAAACTGTTAAAACTATTAGGAATCCCTGAAAAGCAACACCATGCATTTGGACTTTGTGTTACCTTGCAACTGCTTGTCAAGCAGGCAATTTTCTAGAGTGAAAATAGTTCATTGTTACATTTCAGCAACAGTGATTGCAGCAAAATCCTACAGTGATCGATAAGCACATTAAGGTTGACTTTTAACACGAATAAAACACAAGGCATACAAACCATTCCTGGCCAACTTGGGTGTTGAGGTGTTGATAACATTCTCTATTTCAATGCGCATTTCCCTCGACTCCCCTGTGTCAAAGAGGTGACGCATCTGCAACGTAACACATAATTACATGATCAAAACTTGTGTCACCTGTCTATCAAAATAAAATGTTGAAATTTCTAAGTCCATAGCGCAGCTGCAGTATCCTCGACTTTTAACCAATACCATAAATCTATGTGTACGACGAAGCAACAATAGAGACACTTGTTGGCTCCCATTCTCACCTGGCTGGGCTTGAGGAAGTTAAGGCTAATGTTGGGATAACGTGTGGTCGGATCCACGCTGTAGTGGCTGAAGTTCTTACTGACGTTTTCTGGTGTGGTCTGGGGCAGTAGACGGTATATACTCTCCCTAAAGGACAGAGGAAACACTTTTTACAAAATGTAACACAATCCCATTCGCCGTATGGGCAGAGTTGTATTAGAGGCAAGAAAATATAGGTGGATTCTACACATAAACAAAATCGCATTAACATTGTTATCAAAGGGCACAGAGAGTTAGTGCGGAACAGAGAAGTCACATTCCATTCAGTTCTTATGAGAGCCTCTTATCCCATTAGTACCAGAAGAGGTGGGACTGATGCTTGAAATCACATACAGGCAGATTTCCTAGTAAAGCACTTAGAGATAAAAGGGTGTGTTTGAAGAGATGGAACATGTGTGTGCGCATGTGTGTGCGGCTGTGCGTGCACGAGTGTTTGAATGTGAGTACAGGAACAAAATACAGGGAGTTTGGTGTGTATGCATCAGTGTTTCCACGCCCTCACCTCTCAGCCAGCACCTCGAGAGGGGTTTTTCCCTGAGCCCAGCTCTTCACCATCCAGCCCGAGTCCATGGCTGCCAGGAAACCTCGAGCGATGCCAGTGCCCATGGGCCAGAAGGGCTGGAGACAACAGCGAACATCGTATTCAACAACCAAATAAGGCCACAAAAGAACCGTGGCTATGGAATAACAAAAGGGGTAGGACTGTGACGCTGAATGAACTTGAGTTAAACATAGTCTGTTGAAACCTGTCGCATCTCTCACCTCCAACAGGCTGTCTCCCACCAGCGCCACCAGCAGCTTGTGGCCATTGCGTTGGCGCACCATGGCGGCGTTCTCAGAGGCGTACATGCAGGTGAAGTCGAACATGGCTACGTCGGGCTGGCCGTAGTGGTTGATGGCAAAGTCCAGTGTGGGCAGCTGGTGGCTGGTGGAGAAATCCGCAGCCTCACGGGCGTAAGACAGCAGGGCAGCCTGGTCTACATTAGCTCTGGAGAGCAGCAGCTCTGTGTCTGCGTAGTCCTACAGCAGAGATAAGAGATTGAGGTGAGATTACAAGAGGCATTAAGACAAACACTGATGAAAGCAGAGATGTCCAGAGAAATGTATTCCAAGAGTCACAGCGTGAAAAACCAGCCCTTCTGGCAGTGACTCATTCAGCATGAGAAAGAAGTTTGTTTGCAGCTGTGGCAGAAAAATTAAGTTGACTCATAGTTGTATTAATTAAATACAAACAAAAGTTTGTTTGCAGTCAGTTTATTCACTGACAAAATAATATTAACACAAGGTTAACAGAAGCCAAGTGCAGAATAAAAGAGCTTCACAGGATTCTCAGGGCCGCTGTTGTCATGTTGATGTGAGTGAGCACGAACTACACAGCTGATCTCAGAGGAGGTGTACTTTTTACCAGATTATTCCACTTGGAGAAATCCATGACTGGAGCAAATGATCGCAATGCTCATGGATAACGCATGAGAAATCACTGTGGGACAGCTCGTAGAGTCTTTCAGGTGCAGATTTTACTCATTTTGAACCAGACTCTTGTGGCAGTAGAACATGTAGCATGTAGAATAACATTTATTCTAAAGTGAGTGCACCTCACAAATACCTAGGGAGGCATAGTTAAAATGAATAAACCAGTTAACTAAAAGGATTCCTAGAGAGAATAATTTAAAAGCAAACGTATGTGGGGATGATAGTTGCAGTTTGTGTTGTGATAAACTTGAATTTGAACTGGACATTCAAATTGTAAAAGTGATCACAAGCTGCTTGGCTGTGACATCAAATCATTGTTTGGTAATGCTGTATGAACAAGTGATATTGGAAAAGGCAGCACGAGAAATGTCTTGAAACGGACTAAAATGACACTCAGAAGTAATGAAAGACAATTTAAATAGTTATAACAAAACAACTGAACGTCCTCACAAAAAGTTATAATTTCAAGGTGACAGCCTCTGTAACTTGACTGTGCTACAAGGAAGCACTCGCAGGGGAATGAACTGTGCTGTTCACAAGTCTCTCCAACATGTAGCATCAAATCACTGCATGCTTTCAAAGTGACATGTTTTCATAGAGGGTGGTGAGAGGTACATTCAGCTCCCTGGTTGCCCAGGCCAGGCTGGTGGTGATGGTGGGTAAGGGGAAGGGCAGGGTAGTGGAAGATATGAATAGGGGTTGTTTTTTTTTTTTTGGTTTGCCTTGAACTTTGTGGACTCGCCGGTCTTCTGCCAAGCCTTCCCACCCTTCCTCTATCCATTTTCAAGAGTCATAGTCATTGCTATAAAAAGGTTCTGTCTTGGACTGTCTGTCAAAAACCAGTTGTAGTAAATTTTGCCTTTTCATTAACATGTGCCTACTGACTCCAAATCCCCTCTGGCTTCAGACTTCAGTGAATACCAAAACCTCATTAATGTCATCAGCTCGCCATGAAAACAAACACAGACTTGCACACACACGCACAGGGATACCAAAACATGCAGAATGGCTGTGTCTATGTAAGGCAGCTAAATTTATCTGAGTGAAAAAGTGATGACTGTGAGTAGGTTTACAAGTAGGCTCAGTTAAAAAACAGTTCAAGGCAGTCTAAAACCTACCACACAGCACACCTTCAGCAATGCTAGTACGTGAAGACAGAAATGTAAAACAGTCTTTCCGGTTTCCTGTGGAAAGTGGCCAGGAAGAGGAAACTGCCATGTAAAGTGAGGGCGCAAACACGTCTGCTTGAGTTGGCAGTTTGTTGCTGAACACTGTTGGCTTGGTTAGACCATTAGGCCGATACTGGGCAAAAACAGAAGGCGAATAAAAGACTGAAAGAATGAAAGAGAGCAAGACAGAAAGCAAGAGAGAGCCAGACTTGTTTTTTTTCTCGGTCTGTGCGTGCGTATAGTCTTTATGTCTACTACAGAGAGACAGAAGGAAACTCAACAATTGTCTCTCAAACACACACACACACACACACACACACACACACACAGCTCTGGGCTTTGATCACTCACATGCAGAATGACTCCTTTCTCCAGCAGGCTCTGTTTTTTGGCAGTCATCACAAAGTAGTGCGTGTCATCCTTGTAGTAGACAATGTTTTCCAGGTCAATACCTAAAAAGACCGACAGAAAGACGCATTGTTACATACCAAGGACAATCCTTTTCCTTATTGCCGTAGCTCTCCACCATGTTGCCATTAGAGGACAAGAGCGGCAATTTCACGACTCAGAGCACAGAACCAAAGCCCCCAGGGACATCGTCATGTCAGCAATAAACTGTGGACAGGCTTGGCATCAAACCTAATGTCAAGCATTTTAATTGGATGAGCTGACAAATTCAGAACTGTGATCAAAGGACAGATTATTTGTCCTATTTACCTTCATTTTTTGGCATCCACTGCATTCAAGAACTAGCTGGAGTTTTTACAAAAAACAAAAAATAAATCCAACAATTTTTATGTTTAATGCTGCATCCTAAGGTCTTGTATCATACTGTTACCTTAAGAAAAGAAAATCCCTGTAAAGTAAAGAAATGCAGCAGAGTGGAGCTGTGGCAGACCTGTTGCCTCTCTGAGGTCTTGAAAGAACTTCTGGTTGAAGATGAAGGCCACGCCGCTGATCTCCTCGACCTTTGCCTCCGCTGTCGTGTTCCTGTTGATGAAGTTAGCAGTGATGGCGATGGCAAGCTTGCCCCGGAACTCCTTACGCCGAAACCCTGGGGATTACAGGGAGGAAGCAGACAGCGCGTGAGCTTAAGGTCAAGAATCAGGGTGCACGGACCGAGAACTGTGAACACATGAATTCAAAACGTTTTACGATAAAAGACTCAACTAAACTAAACTAGCTAAATGTGCCAACTCATATCTGCTTTTACAACATGTCAAAACCTGCAAATGCATACTACACATTATAAACGCAACCAGATGTTCTGTATCACAAACAACTTGCTGGCTTTTCAAGCTGTGTGAATGTAGTTTATGGTTATCCCAGAGGGAGCCTGCTGCTTCCCCTCTGTAATGCAGCAGTCAGTAGTACAGAGAGGGGTCATGGTACTCTGCTCCATGGGGGCTCGCTTTGCCAGTGTGGCAGTGTGTGAGGCCCAAACACTCATTGAGGAAACAGACAGCCAATTCAACAATTCCTATTCTGCTCTGCTCTGCTGGGAGAGCAAACACTCTCTGAAGTCGGATGTAGCAGCCAGACACACACACACACACACATGTGCACAAATGCTCATTCATGCGTGAGGAATGGAGTGAGGTCAGGCACTCGACCACAGCTGTACACAAGTGAGATCATAATCATTATGACTGACCTCCGTGTCCACGTGAAGAAACAAACAAACAGTGTTCCCTGTGCTTTCTTTGTTTAGTCAAGATAAATCTGCATTACTAATGCATTTCGCCCAGCCTGTAAACACAGACTTGCCTGGTAGTGTGTTTCTCCTTCCGTCTGCTCCGATGATGACGTCAAACTCCAGCTCACTGGCAGGGTGTGTCTTGGGATGGACCTCAGCCCTCCAGCCTATCCCTGAGAAAACAGAGCATGTGTAATGTAACGTGACAGAAATGCTTCAGATAGTTCTCTGACGAAACACATGTTCAATTCACATTCATTTTTTCTTGCGCTGGCCTGGCAGCAGCTTGATTCACTCACGTTCAGTCTCTTGATCTTCAGGGGGTTCGATAAGACCCTTGAACTCTACGTTGACATGGATCTCAATGCCCAGCAGGAGAGCCATTTTTAGCAGCATTAACTGAAGCTGACGAATACCTGCAATACAAAGGCAGAGAGAAACAAAACTCAAGTGAGATAAGAACTACACAACAACAAAGCATACATCTTCTTAATGCATACAAAACAACAAAACCTACAGGCAAATATGACATGAACAAGTACTGTAAACAAACGAGAGCAAAATCTGTCATGTGTACTCACTGATATGATCGATAGCACCAGCGCAGAACTTCCCATAGAACTTCTTGGCCCCGAGGCCCCTGAGGTCCTGGATGGTGAAGGGCCAGAGGTGCAGCACATTGTTCCTGGAGAAAGCATCTCTCTTCTCCAGCAGCACCACTTTGGCCCCCAGGAAAGCCAGCTCGATGGCTGTACGTAAGCCGCACGGCCCCGCACCAATGATCAAACACTAGAGACATGGAGACGCAGATGTTATGAATGAGCTGTAAGAACCATACACATTGGAAAAGCTGAGTCACTGCCCAGCTTTGGCCACATGATGAAAACCCACATATTCAGACTGCAACTTGACACTGCCCTCTAACACATCTCACTTCTTCAGTTGTTTTATTGGGAAAAATAAACTTCCTCTTGACTCGAATTTGAGTATAAATGAGATTAGTTAAACTAGCGCTTCATTCATCCCAAGGGAATTTTTATTAGCTGGCTAAGTGAACTTTGCGTGCAGATAATATTTCAAAGCTCTACTAGATAATATCATTAATAATAATACATTAATATTAATAATAATAATAATAATAATAATATAACTATATTTACAGTCTTATCTCTTTTTTGGGTCAGCAATGTAAACGATGAAACCCAGAGAAGGCGACAAACCAATATAAAGCAATGACACATCCGCTTGGCTGGTAAACATGAGCATTACATGATTCCTCTGCGTTTACACCTGGTCTTAAAGTGCAATCTGTATCCGGACAACATTATCCAGACATGTTAATGCAAGTTGTAAATGCGCCGTGATCAGAATGTGATTGGATCTGCCTGACCACCTCTGGAAGTAGTCTGTCTCGCATTGTGTTAGGTGTAAACGCAGTATTTGACACTTACAGCGGTTTCGCTGCCACCTCAAATTACTCATGCAGAGGTTTTGCAGAGGTTTTGCTCCGGAGGACAGACATTCGATCTCAGTGAGGATAACAAGAACTCACTAAAAATACCAGGTGTAAACACAAATGGAAGATTAGATCATTTATTATCGGGATAACGTATCCGGGGTACAGATCGTATTTTAATACAGGGTGAAAAGTCAGCATCAAACAAAACCGCCTTTAACTGAATCATACAGTTTGTGCTGATGCAGGCTTACTTTTGAGTTGGCACAGGCACGACCCTTCTTGTACTCCTTATGGCTGGCCCTCTTGTCTAACTTGGCCCAGAGCGCCTTGGCCTTCCAGTAGTTGAGTTTGGACTTGAGCTTGTGATAGAAGACCCTGTACTCGGTGGGCTTGACTTCCAGGTGGTCACACAGCTCCTGGAAGGCCTTGAGCGTGCCCTTAAACGTGCTCGCCTGGACGAAGTTGTCAAACAGCACGTGGGACCGGTTCACCCCATCTCCTCCAGTTGCACCAGTGCCTCCATCCCCCATGGTCCAGACTCACACAGGGCTGTGAGGGCCCTTCACCCCCTGAGCCAGGGGCCTCTGGGTCCAGCCCCAGCCCTGGAACACACTCTCTCTGGTGGAGGGCTTTAACTCAGGCCTCAGGCATCTTCATTCTGTCAGCGAGAGGGAGAGAAATAAAACGGAGTGAATCTGAGAAGATACTTCCACATTCTGCTGCAAAGTTTAGTCCTGTATAAAATATTACCACATGTTGCAACAGGGCATAAAAGCAAATGTACAAGATTACAGCTTTCGAACGCTCGAATGACATCAACACTGTACAATCCACCATAAGCTGAAACTTAAGAGACTCTTGCCTCTTTTGGCGCCCTTTTTATGAAATGGTCCCTAAAATTCTCTAACTAAACAACCATATGTATTACAGCTGGTCAGACAAGCAATCAAAACTGCAATTAAGGATAAAGAACATGTCATTTAAGGTCTCGCTGTTATTTCTCTGCAGCGACTTGACCTCAAACAACCTCTTATCTGTCTAGGTACGCGGCTGCCGGACACAGGAAGAGCACTGAGCCCACACAAAGCCAAACAGGAAACGCACAGGGCACATGTGTGTAGACATTTCTTTGTGGCACAGAATCTGTCCAGACAGACCCCAGACGCAGGAAATAGTCAGTTCATCCCAAAAAATACTGTCACACTCAACACAATCCTATTCATTCAAGAAATAATCTGACATTAGTGAGAAGAAGCCAGAGATGACCAACAGATTTCTCCACTGTCACTGGCCCCTGGTTTGTTATAGCTTCCTGTGTAAACAGTGAGTGAGAGTTGACTTGCTGCTGTTGTTGTTTTACCTGCTGTGACTTGTGGCAGTTGAGCTTTATGTGTTCTGCTTTTTAACCCCCAGGGGGACGAGATCATTCATGTTCTTTGGCGTCTATGGCTCAGCTGTCATGACTGGAATGTCTTGATGGGCTCTCCCATTAACTCTGACTGTATTTATTGAGCAGCATGAGCAGCCTTTAAAAGCCTTTACTCAACATCAGTGCAAGTTTAAAGGGGGGGGGGGGGGGGGGGGGGGGGTAATGGAGAGGAAAAGGGTTAAAGAAATATCACAAAGCGCAGGGACAAAAGTGGGGATGTTGACTGCAAAAAAAAAAAAAAAAAACAGTCTATTTGCTGACTTATACATTTTCAGCCAAGCAGTGGTTCTGGTTTGCATTATCTGCAGGGCAACGAGGAGAAACTCGCCGTGCTTGTTCGAAACTCACAGTGGCTCAGCAAACAGGATCACCTATGTAACTCTTCCGCATTCAGCATGTAGAAAGAGTATCCCAATAATTAGCGTGAGTGAGGAAATAAACAAAATATTAAATGAATACTTTGAGATTTAGGGAGACAAACATGAAGCTACACCTATGAAGTTCACCAATCATCTAAATGGTGTTTCTGATCAAAAAAAGAATTGTCAATAAACATTTATGTTTGGGACCTAACTTTTATTTTGTAAGGAATAAGTCAGGACTTAGTTACTTCCTGAAGGACACACATGACCAATTCAGTCTCTCTCTCTCTCTCTCTCTCTCTCTCTGTGTGTAACAACTTGAGCTTTGTACTCAACTGTCCAGGGTGCTGAGCTAGTTCATGAAAACCAATGTAGTCCCAGTCCCAATGGCAACACATGATGAAAGGGAGGCAGGTACAGAGGTCAGCTGGCCTCCTTTTCACACCCTGCCAACTCCTCGCTGCAGTGAAAACAGCAGGCTCTGGGTTTGGCTCTGCCTCAGTCAGGCATGATCGGGGCTGAAGGCTGCAGTGCCAGCACAGACAGAGAAGGCCCTTTTCCAACACAAGCATTTAGATATCAGCTACATCATTTCCTCTGTAAGTGAATTTGACTCTAAAATCCACACACACACCAACTGTAAAGGCGATCTGTAGTAGCTTGTAGTTTACATGCAAAATACTGTCGAGCACTAGTTCCTCTAAGACAGTACAGATAAGACGGCATCAACATCGATCATAAAATCAAAACAGGAATGCTCTGATCGACCGTGTGTCAGTGGGAGTCAGCCAATACTCATTACCAATGACTCAATCAATGGTTCTTAATTTGTTTGTCAATAATAACGGCAACATGATCAAAAGTAGTAACAGAGAATACATGAACGTCACTCAAATAGTTGTCAGGCATCCGAGGCCTGTTCCTGTTTATCTCCACAAGGATTTAAGATGCTGTGGTTGATTGCCGTGCAGAGTAAATTGATGTGCAGTCAGGCTTGCAGTTTCTTTTGTGTCTGGCAAGTGGTGGGGGCCTGCGACGGCACGCTGCAAGCAAACACAGATGAAGGAGAATTTCAAGGTTACGTTCTAAACGAAATTTGGGCCAGCGTGTTCGCTTCAGACTCTTCGCAGCCATTTCTCGGTGCACGGCATCTTATCCGTGCAGAGTTCAACGGCACCAGCAAGCCACAGATTCCAGGTGCATCAAGTGTGATATCAGGTGAATGGGTTAAGTGCAAAGGGAACCACGATGACATCTTTCATTCATCATTGGAGTGTGTTTCAAAATATAAAAAGATATAATAAATCACTGCTCCCGTTACTTTTGAAATGACTAAAACTAAATAATTTTTGGAAGCAATGAGACTAAATATCATGGATAAACTTTATAGGCAGGGTTGCGACTAGATAACCTTTTTATCATCAGTTAATCTGTTGATTGTTTTCAAACACTATTGATTCATCTTTTTATGTAATTTAATTTAGGCTTTTTTTTCATGAGATATGGCTTCAAAAATTATCAAAATAGATGCCTAATAATTTTCTGTTTTTACAGGGTCTCATGCGCGGGGGGGGGGGGGTTTCTGGAAATCTTAACAAAGAGGAACCAATTGAGATCTGTATCACATCAGCTGCAAACTCATCAACCCCAGAAAGTCTGACAAGAGCATGTTAAAACAAAACAAGCCCTGAATTCTTACACTCTACTCTTTGACCCTTCTCATGGTTTTCAAGTTAACGACGGAGGACAAGCAGAGGGGTGGCAGTTCATCAGCATTGAGACTGTTTCTAGAGGCAGAGAAGACGAAAGCAGTTCATCTCAAACTCCTCGTTGAAAGCCTCGTGAACCGTACTTAAAAAGGAACAGGAACTTGAGAGGATGGTCTCAGAGGGTTCATAATTCACTTAATGGTGAAATCAAATCTTTCTTACGTGAGCTAAGTTAAGTTCTCTTGCTATGTCTCTCTCCCGGTCCACAGCAGGGACAAAAGCGACCCCACCCCCCCCACCCCTGTGGGATTTTTATGTGACTCTAAAGACATGCAGGTTGTGGAGACACATCAAGGACTACACATGGGAAATGAAAGGATGCTATGAGCTTTATGACACACTTGTGAGAAAGCTCGCAGTAAACATCGAGCACACTTTGAGGTCTTTGAAGGAAATGGGGGAGCAACTGCTCACAGACATGCTGGGTCACAGTATGCGTTTGTGTGAGCTGCCCAATGACGGTGCAGCTCAGGCAGGCTGTGCTGTGGCATATATCCCCCCTCAGACTCTAACCAAGTTTAATGACAACAATAAACCTGTCCCATAATACGACAGTAATGACAGTAGCCTCCTGCAGAGACGCATATGGCCACTCAACGGGAGAGGCTGCAGCATGTGTTTCTGTTGGGCGGACAATGGTGACGGAAGAGACCCCCAAAGATGGGAGTTATTGAATATGATTTAGACAAAGTCCTGTTTTTCTCTTCTACATGACTCAAATTGCAAACAAACAATTTTCACTGGATAACACAAAGAAGAAAATCCAAACGGCTTTGGCTCGGCACGCACTCAAAATCGTCTGGACATCTGGATAAGCTAGCAGGATTTCACACATTCACAGAATTCACACAAGAATTACACACATGCATGTAAGCCTTTATACACACACACACACACACACACACACACACACACACACACACACACACACACACCCCAACCCCCCAGTCTGCATACACACACAGCATGCCTTTTCTTCTCACTGGTTGTATTACATCATCCTCTAATCTAAAAATAGAGCCAGAGATTAGGCCACTAGGCTACAAGTTTGACAGCACTGCCTTTGTACACTGTAAACACTGTCACCGCCAGTCATAAAAATTCATAGACTATAAATAATTATTGATTTGAAAACAGACTGGATGAATGAGTATGTTGTAAATTAATATTAATCAAAACTTGTGGTGCCTATTTTTCTTTTTAGTTCAGTCACGGAGGAGAAACCACATTATTTATTCTGTTTAAAACAAAGAATAGACAGAGAGCAGACAATAATATGTTGTCCAAATGTTCATTTTCTCTGTCAATATAACACAGAACAACGTTTGTTCTGCTTCTTATCCACCATAGAAGCATAAAGTAACCGGAATGACTGTAAGTTTGTATGTGTGAGTCCTCAAATGACATTTTGTCCTCCGTCAGTCTCCGGCTCAGAAATGACTGATGCTCAGTGGACAACCCTGGAGATGAAAGTTAATATCCCGACCCATCTCCCCCTCTCATCCATCAGTAGGCTTGGCACAGTGCAGGAGGGAGTGCAGGACGCAATCTTTCTCCCTGAGCAGAGGAAATCTCCGCAATAATGGATGTGCAAGCAAGAACATTTAAGTCAATCAAACTTATAGCCTGCCACACCCACTCCACCACTTCTAAAATCCTACAGCAATAATAGCTGGATTTGACTGTTTTATGTCTCTGCTCATTTCTCCTTGTTTGCCTTATGACGACTTCCACTCCGTCTTTGTTCTTGACAGTTAATGATCACCTTCACAGCCCACTTATACTCATTATGCTCCTCACTGGAGATGGCTGCATTACACTATGACTATGATGCTAATTTCAAAGCAACGCAGCAGCTGCCTGTAGGGTTCAAATACATCATACTGACAACAGAAGTAGACTAATTAACTCTTATTTCTCCGTTATTTGTCGGTCATTGTGTGCACAATATTTAGGCTAGCTAGAGAAAGTTCACCACCGTCAATAAAAACAGAGAGCATATGCTAGGCTTATTTTTAAAGCAATAGCTCTACATTTTGGGAAATAAGGGTTAGTAATCAAGAGAATAAGGTGATTATATCACTTCAATCCACCCATT